GACATGCTGGAAAATCATTGTTCTGATTAAAGGCAAAATAAATTTAAATATAAAGTTGGGTCAATGTTAAATTCTCTATGCTTTTTCTGCAAGTCTGGAGAAGAGCCCACAAACAGGGCAGATGACTCCAGGAGCAGAGCCAAGGAGAAACCCAGAGTTATGTCAGGATGATGCCCCTCTGCAGACATCAGACATTCCTTCTACTCCAGTCCTTGCATCAGCATATACCTGGTGGCCTTGTCACTGGTTTCCCTCCCAGTGGTCCATTTGCTTCCACCCATTCCTCAGGCCTGGCTGTACTTGTGACATCCCTGGGGTCCAGGTCACTCTTCGCATACTGGGGTCTGCCCTAGCTCATGGCTGCCAGCTTTGGGTCTTCTCTTCCCATACATATATCCTCAGAAGACCTGAAGAGAACAGAAGTCTTTTGGCTTGGCCTTTGGTCCCTAATTTCTGCTGGAACCAAATTTGCATGGCTCGGCACTCAAGGGTTAAATGGTCACACAGGGAATTCCTGTTCCTATTGTATCAAATATTGTACTTTTTGGTTAGTCTAACGGTTAACAAGGCACTCTGGCAACTTCATTGCTGCACTGCCAGTTCTTTGCATGCAAAACAGTCTCATGTTTTTGTTGTCATGGGGAATTCCTTGCCTGTGAACTATGACGGTCTTTTTACCTAGCGTGAGAAGGGCCAGTATATATAACTTAATTGGCTGAGTCACATCAGTACACAAATCTAGGCCGTATGTGAAGTGCAAAAGCAGTAAGAGTGATGGGTGAATTTACAGCTTCAGGAAACATCTACATGCCTTTGCTTTGAGTGAGATCAGAGCAAAGATGTGTTATGTAAATGCATGGGGTTGCAAAACTCGCTCCCCAGTGTTACTGATCTCACATCCGTTCGTGTGTCTAGAGCAGCTGAACAGCTCTCCTCAAAACTGAACTTACTGGTGCTGTAAAAGCAGAGATCTGTGGGTGATCTGAGCTGTGTTAGAGAGGACACCACAAACCATTCACATTGACTTCTCAAGGTTCAACCCAGTGACAAAATATGCCGGGTCAAACCAAAAAGCACATTTGTTGCAGCCCTGTTTCCCTGCCAAAACGAATTTTCTTCTCACTGATGCAAATACTCTTGAGGTCAGTGCTCTCGTGCTTTCTGGGTCAATAGGATTTTATTCCGAGTATTCACTTCTGCTATTAAAGGAAACAGGCAATTAGAGTTTCAGATGCCTATCCAGCAGGACTGCCCAAATGTCTTACAGACAAAAAATGCAATCTCAGGGCCAGGTTTGGTGCCAGGTTTCCCTGGAGTGGGACAGACACATTGTCCACATCTGCTTTTCAGGAGCAGCACTTACCTGCAATGCTGAGCTCTTTGCAGTCACTTCGGGCTAGCACGATGGCACTTCCATTTCCTGAAGGCATCACCTAAAATAATTTCTGGCATCTGAAATAATTCATTCTCTAAACTCACCTTTTGCTGCCTTCTAGGTATAATACATTCAGTTGCAGGAATAAACAAGAGGAACCAGGGATTGAAGAAAGGGAAAATATGAAACAAAGGACCAACTTTTTTGATTCTGTAAGAGGTATGCTTGCCCTGACAGACAGACACTGCCTCAAAACAAGAAAGCTCATACCAGCACCTGCAGCACTGCAAGGTCCCAGCAGTGTTGGCTCAAGAGTTTGGTGCATACTGGGACACTTGTTACTTTGTCCACAGATGCTTTAGACAGCAAGCTATTGATGCTTTTAATACTTTAGTCTTAGACCTATGGGTCATAGAATCATAGATTGGTTTGGGTTGGAAGGGGCCTTAAAACTCATCCAGTTCCAACCCTCTGCCACAGGCAAGGACACCTTCCACTAGACCAGATTGCTTCAAGCCCCACCCAACCTGGCCTTGAACACTGCCAGGGATGGGGCAGCCACAGCTTCTATGGGCAACCTGTGCCAGTGTCTCACCACTCTCACAGTAAAGAATTTCTTCCTAACATCTAATGTAAATCTCCCTTCTGTCAGCTTAAAGCCATTCCCTCTTGTCCCTTTGTAAAAAGTGTCCCTGCAGAGTTCTTGTAAGTAATACTGAAACCTACTGAAGCTTTGCATCTTACAGCACCTATTCAGAAAATACGGTTTGATTAAATTAAATTGATGATGGTTTGCAATGTATTAAATTAAAAAATACATATTTTTCTGTATATTAGCAACCCTTAACCAGGAGGGGAAAAAAATCAGGACAAGATCCAAGAGACTGTCAATCCTGACTCATAGCCATATTCACCATACAGTAATGGGAGAAGAATATTTACACATTATTTATAGAGAACGATGCCTTTACATCTTGAAATACCTGCAAATGATAGACTGTTGCTATCTTTCAGCAAAGAGAAGCAACTATTTGATCCAAGTGGTTTTGGGGAAACTTCCCTTATTGATCTACTTTTTAATCTGGGCAGCAAAGACCCAACATCCATACTGTAATTTGCTGTAGTCACTCTTAACAGAACAGCACAAAATACTGGCAGAGTATTGATAACAAAATATGTCAGTTGGAATAAAAACAGCTGGAGGTGCTGTCCCCTACACAGTTGTAGCTTTAAATCAAAGTAACATGCAAAACCTTGAATTTCCTGCTTGTGAGCTGTCCTACCATGTTCCACACACCATCGAGCTGTTCTACATCTCTTCACAATAAAAGTGAAAATACCATGCAAAAGATTAAACTGTCTGAAAATAGTAAGTGCCAAATATAGTTGTTTTATTTCTTATTGTCTGATAACACTGCGATAACATAAACTGTATAAAGCATGATTAAGCACTTCCATAAGAGTAGGTACATATTATAAAATAAAAAATATAATAACAAAAGGAAAATGAAAACATAACAAATAAAATATTACAACAAAATAACAGTACCAGTTTCTTCCTGTATTCCAAAATTTATTGAAAATGTTTAAATTATGCAGCACTAAGATAAGTTACTTTTATTTTCTCTCTTGATTTTATATGTATACTAACTGAAACAGAAATAAAACCTATTGATCAACACAGAAAATGTTATTAATCATGAAACACCGCATGTAGATTTAAGGAGGGATGATGCAGTGGCTATTAAAAGGAATGCATTATAATTACTCCTCACAAGCTTACAGATTTTAGAAATTAAAAATAGCTCAATAATTCACAATAAAAGGACCAGCCACCAAATTAGCTGATAAATCAGCAGTTATTGTAAAAGTTGCCAGAAAACTAGCAACCACAAGATCAGCTACACTTCAAATAGACTGCACAAAGTGATGGCATTCCCTGATACCATGATCTTTGCACTTGCTAGGACCCTGACAGCCCTATCTGCAAGATAAGAGGGGGAAATCTTAAGCCTATTAATGTCAACAGAAATTTTGAGACCAAAATTCCAGTTCAGCGCTTGAAGAGAAATATGTATGCCTTCTGACCATAAGACTGCAAACAATCGTACTGAAAACATGCTTTGTTTCCACCATGATGATAATCCTAGTGGAAGGAGTGCTTTTCACTCTGCCTGCTGTGGAGCATGGGACAAGCAGTCCTCAGGGCAACTGTGGATGTGTTCTTCCCCTCCCACCTCTGTGCACACCTTTTTATGATTCTTTTGCATTAGAGCCAGCAATCTCACCTACAGCTGAACTATTCAGCCCCTACTAGCTTCTTCAAACTTCAGAAGAAAGCAGCTATGGAACCAGTGCTGGGACTGCCAGGCCCATTTGCTGACAGTTAATCCCACAGACTTTAAAAAACAAGCCTGCCAAGTGCTTCCAGTGACCACATCAGTTCCTTTTGCTCTTTCCCAAGTTACACAGTTGCTGATTACATTATTTCAAAGGAGTCTGGAAGTTCTCAGAGGTGCAACACCAGCGGAGTTACCTCAACACTTCTTGAGATGCTACCACAATAAAATATGTCTTTGCACAGTCTTTTGTTGTTCAGTGTACTAAAAATAGATTTTTTAAAATAGCCCTTAATACTTGAACTACCTCACATTCTTACCTAGGAACATTTTATCTATCCCCAAGTAAAAACTGTCACTGTCCCTTTGCAGAAATGTGATGGCTTTAATCATGATTAAAAGTAAAATCACTTTTAATTTATCCATCAACATTTTGGTCAGAAATACATGAATTAACAATAACACACAGGCGTTACTAGCTCAAGAATTCAAGCAGTCTAATTTTGTGGAACAAGAGAAAGAAAACGTAAGATGTTGGATTTTCTGTTGAGTGGATATATACATTCTTAAACAGTAGTAAAGTGGACTTCAATTTTTGTGAAAATACTTGAGATTAAAAGATTCAAGAGCAGATCCTTCTTAGCATCAGTTACAAAAGCTCTACTAGCATTAATAACCAACCAAGGATCCTATTTATAATATTGAAGATGTATAAACCCTACTTCTTTGATACCTGCTTGCTATCAGCAGTTTGGTAATTCTTTAAAGAGACACCATTCATGCAAGAAAAGTGAAATTTAATACATAGCTTGATAATGGAGTCTTGGTAAGGCCAATATAGACAATGGATATTAGTGAGCAAAACCCCTTCCAGTATGAGAAATCAACTTTAACAGAGCTAGTAGGCATCTAAGCAACTTCATATACTAGGGAGCTGCTGCTGCCTAGCAGCAGTCAGTAATTACTGACTTTTCAAACCAAAGTCAGAGGAAACCTCATTGATAGAAAGCAATCTGGAATCTGGGCCCAAGCTCAGGTATATATATTGCCTCTGTTACTAAAATTTTATTCTATTGTGTTTCTAATTCCATTTTATGTTTCACAATATGCCCAGTTTACATCAATTAAACATCAGACAATTGCCCCACAAGAAAGAAGTGTTTACTATTTTGTAAGAAAAAAAAACAACACTGAACCCAATAAACATAGTCAAAATAAACTAATTCCATAGTTTTAAAAATAAGGATATCAACATACTGAAATGTTTTCAATGTTTTTAGCAAAAAAAAAAAAAAAAGTACAAAATTATACTGAAACTTGAAAATCTACAAGAAAATGTTTTCAGGAGTTTTGCACAGCCCTGTTCAGCAGCAGTGATGCTTTGATAATGTCTTTTTCACTCCAATTATAAAGGTAGAACCAGTTTCTTGAAGGAGAAGGACCTATGACTTATCCTCTATGTGTGGTTGTTGTTAAGATTGTTCTTATTAAAGAATCGTCTTGCTTCAACACTGCTGAGGGACACGGAGCAGCGAGATGGATTCTCTTTCCTGTATTCAATACTTTCCACCATAGCTTGCTTGATCACCTGAAAACAGTGAACAATATGTCAGCCAGGGAAATAACTAACACTTTGATGATTTATTAACTGATAGAAAAGACTCCTTCAGATGTTAGCAACTATTTCTCCTACTTTTAACATAGCTCCATCATTGAACAAAGTGATTGCTGAGTAGTATTATGAATACTTTTTCTTGATTATACAAAACACTGATTTTAATGTAGTTAATAAAGATATAACTTCATGCCACCAAGGTCAAAGAAGTCAGAAAAGTATATACACCACCTAACCAAGTCCTAGTGAAATTCTGAAGGGTAAATCAAACTGGAGAACATCCATACTTAAAGGATATAGAAAATAATTACTATATTGAGAAAGATTAAATCACGTTTGCTTCCTTTATCCTGAAGTAACAAGATTTCTTTATTATATTAAGAAAAAAAAAGTATTTCTTTGTCTGGGCTGATCATTTACGCATGTGAATAAGGCGAGTCACTCTAGATGCTGGGATAATGGTGTTGAGTTACAGCTTGCATCCATTTAAAAAAATTATTACTCAGTTGATAAATTTCCACAGAACTTTATAGAAAATCTCCAATTGTCCTTTTTTTCTTTTTTTTTAAGTTATAAAACCATCATATATAAAAACTTAGTATAAAATCCTGAACATAATGTCTGCATCCTACAGAGTCATCCTTGCTCAGTTACCCTGCAGGGATTTCATGGTAAAATGAAAAAAAACAACACAGGAACCAAATTAGAAAAGGATGTGAATTGGAATGGATCCTCACAAGCACAGGCTCAAACACTGTGAAAAGTACACATACTATACTCCAGTAGTTTTTCCATTTGGAAGATGACCACAGTATTGTATCAATCTTAGCCCCAGAAATACTGTTTAGACTTCTTTTTTTCATTTTTTCCCCCACTGGAAAGCACCTCTGGCTTTTTCAGCAGCATATTTGCTTAGTGGTTTATTATTGACAGAGGATATACAGTAATACTTCCTTCAACACTGATATTTCAGTACTTCAGAAATAGAGGTCAAGTGAAGAGACCAAATTCTCCTCACCTGATTCTCACTGTGTATCTCATCCAGCTCTCTTCAGGTATCTCCAGCCACTATGTTACCTAGAGCGACTGGACTCTTCTTTCCTTCCAAGGCTGGAAGGATACAAGTTAACCATGCCAGAGTTTGTGCATGCTTGTACACAGCTCATAAAGAACTTACCTTGGTTATCTCTATGCCTCATTAAAATCAAGCAGGTTCCCTTCCACTTTCTACAATGGGCTTTAATCCAACCTAAACTTCAAGAATAGCAAGGGGCATAACCAAATGCAAGAAGCACTGTACAGTTTGGATTGTGAATTTAGGGCTCTACTCACATCATCTATTTCCCATTTAACAACCTAAAGCCTTTAAGCCCCTTCCACACTGTCATACATACATCTATGTTATTGAGGGTGTTGAACTCCATTAGATCGTGAAGCCTCTTGAAAGCCTCATTGGGATACTGGAAGTTGAAGGTAGAAAATGGTGTATTTGTATCATCAAAAATGTCAAAGTCTGCAAAATCCTTCTCTTCCTGTGTTTCTCTTGGAATACCTGCATAGAGAACAAATACAAAAATACAATCTACATGTTAGGTTTGAGGACTTATCATCTTATTTTTTAATGCCTCTTTTGAACTCCTAACTGCTACAGACAGACTTTAGAGTTATTTCAGAGACAAACCATTTCTAGTATGTAATCACCGTGTCATTACAAAGCTTCAAAGGAACAGCTAGATCGAGCATTAAAAACTGTGTGTTCACCTGGAGCTTTGTACTTCCGGAAATTGATGTTGGCCAAAACAAAATGGATTATAGTCGGACAATCTTTCTCCGAAGAGGTATCCTTTGGTTTGAAAACATAGCACTCCTTCATGCCCTCGCGATCAAATACATTTGGGTCTATTTTGGGAAAAGGAAGCTTGTTCATTCTGGCCCATTTTTCAGCAAGCAAAATTTCCTGAAAAGATAACAAGTGCATGTAAGCATCCACTGCAAAGGGAGATTTTATGTAGAGAGACACAGGTCAAATTGGTTACTGGAAAAAGCTTTATTAACGCACCCTTCTTTACACAGAAGGACTGATTAGGCCAATCTTTGTATAGACTACCCAGTATGGTGAACTGAGCACCTAATTCAGTCTGCCCAATTTTGAGTGCCTCAGATGATTCACAGGAAGAAAAGAGCTGGTCTGTCACATAAATCTTTGGTGAATTTACAGAGCTGACAGCTAGAAAAAACCATCTGTAATTTTACTTGCAAACTGAGTACCAGTGCTATGGAAACCAATGAGAGTTAACAAACATCAGTCCACGTGTTGTTATGTTCAGATACACATCATAGCACAAAACAGCTTCTGAAAGCATGCTAAGTGAAAAAGGAAGTCTGGAAAACAGGCTTTTTCAAACTCATGACAACTCAGTAAACAATATAATTGGTAAATAATGACTCAAAAGCATGTAATGAGGGTGTGTGAGAGGGAGGAGAGGGAAGGTCAACATCTTTAATGCTGGTTTTGAATGAAACAGGACCCTTCTTTGGGCAACTGTTTTGGATACAGAAGAGATTAAAACATAGTGGGTGTAAAATGATAAAATAAAAGCAGAGTCATAGACTTCAGCTGGCTGATTTCCCTTTATGTTGGAGTAATAAAAGTACATTAGAGTGCTACTATAGATACTGGCAAACTTTTGAACTTGCATTTACTCTTTGTAATGCAAGCAAAAGCAATGGGATTGCACAGCCAGTAAACAAAACTGGTTTCTGTCCTTCAGGATGTTAGCATACAGCCTATACTTGTGGACTGTACCTGTGTATTAGCTGCAGCTACGTCACTCTTTTTAATACACACTTTTGCATTTCAGAAATAATGAACAATTCCCTTCAACAGTGGCTTCATTAAAACCTATGGCACTATTTAATTTTCCTACCACTTTTTCATGCGCAAAAGGATTTCTCCTGTTTAAAATTACAGCTTGCAGAAAACAATTCAGGATGCCACTTGACTTCCTATCAATCTCTCCATGTTATGGTATGTTACCCAAAATGACACAGAAAATTGCAGCTGATGGTGACCGAAACTTCAATGCATAGGCTAAGAATAACAGAGATGATACACTGCCTTTTGCACAGACTTCATGTGCAGAACATTAACAAAGGGAGGAAAAAGAAAATGCTTCAGAGATGGCAATGCAGTGTCAGTAAATTTAGCTGGTGGGGAAAATATTCAGTTGTGACAAAAAAGGGCACAAATTCTTCAACAGAAATACACTGTGGGATTCAGTCAATTAAGGAAAACGAAGGATCTCAGCACGAATAATAGTTTTCTCAGTTCTGTATTCTTCAAAGTAGTTCCCAAGAGATCTAGAGATTACGGAAGTCATTTTACTCCTTTTTATTCTCCTGAACTTGTTTTAAATTGCATTCGACAACAATGATCTAGAGTTCATTTTGCTACTGCTGTTATTTTCTAATGTTGGTTGGTAGGGTTATCCCTTGATAGCAAGAGGAAGGAAAAAAAATTGTTCTAATTGAAATTTGTCTGTAAAGCAACAACGAATGCCAGCTGTTTCTCAAATAGGCAAGTTTTCTTGGTTTTCTTAAAAACAATTTTAAAAAATCCACTTGAGTTTCAAATAAATATTGCCTCTTTTTGAGAACCTCAAATAGTCTCATAGGTAGCTTTTTTTTTTGTGTCAGCTACCAAAATGATCCAGCATTAAGTCTTTCTGATCAGTTGGAGCTGTCTGGATGCAGAGGTTGTACCCATTTTAGAGACTGACAGCTGTGCTTTACACATCTGCTACTGAAAAAAACCCATGCCATTTAATTCGTATTTTCATGTTGTTGTTTTGGCCTGTCCTAAATGGATTCAGGAATCCTATTTAAACCAGTACTGGGATTATCCTAGTGAGATGTAAATGAACAGTTAGCTCCAATTCCAAAATGTTATGTATTTAGCAATACCAGAGTGACTAAGACACATTTCTGATGATGACAGAAAACCGTTCATTTACATCACAGCATCACAGAGAACAGCTGCACAGAGGTAGAGAATTAGCACAATGGTAAAAGAGTTGATGGTTTAATACTGACATAAAATAAAATTCTGCAATTCAGTGTGAATGCAAGATTTCCATAAAAACAACAGAGCAAATACTTCAAATAAGTCATATTAGCCCTTTTTGTGTCAGTCATCTCATGTGAGTCATGTAAACAGGAACTGAGGCAAAGCGCAATATTCTGCCTTGACGTAGAAACAAATTCCTCTGATGCTGTCGATAAAGTAGCACTAAGGCCTTCTGGAACCATGAAATGTGCAACCCACCTGACTGGAAGAATGCAATTGAGACAACTTAAATTTATGAACACAAAGAAAGGTATGGCTTATCTCACTTACTTTGAAAGGAGGACTGGAATCGCTTGGCCTCGCTGAAAAATCAAATGAGATGATGAGATCCACACCTCTTTGAGGTCTTAAAATAAGTGGGTACGGAAGGTTAAATGTAAGCCCGCTGTCCACTATATGAATCTTTTTGCTCTTCACATCTAGTGGCTCATATATCCTCTCAAACTCATCAGGATCTGTGCAGAACAAATGAAACCAAAACAAACCAAGAACACTTGTGTTAAGAACTTCTTGAAATTTTCATTTCAAAATGGCACAGGGCTTTCCAATGTTTCCCCAAGTACTGAAGATTCCACAGACTTTAAAAAGTACAGTATCCCAGCTAAACATACCATGAACTCATGTGTAACCTTAACACTTATCTTAACAACTAGAGAATGAGGGGAAAAAAACAGAGCTGGAAGGGACCTCAGCAGATAATGTCCCAAGGCAGAAGCAGAGGTAGCTCGAGGCAAAACCAAAAGGGACAAATGCCCAGGTTTGACCCTAACCTTCCCATCTTTACTCTGTCATCCCTAACAACCAATACACAAAAGAAAGTGTTCATGGGATGGTAAGAGACAGATTTATAGTGTACATCCCCTCAGTGTCCTACAACCCTGCCTAAATATCTTCCTTGGGTTCCCTCCCAAACCCTTGTTCCTCCCAGCTCCTCTTCCTCAAATAACTGAAATTTGCCTAAAAAGCCTTGACGTGGTTTAGCTCCTGCATGACGCTTGTCTATGTCACTCCACCTGCAATAACGCATCCAGCACTTGGGCCCCCAACACAAGAGGGACATGGATCTGCTTGAGTGAGTCTAGAGGAGAGCCATGAGGATGCTCTGAGGGCTGGATCACCTCTCCTATAAAGCCAGGCTGAGAAAGCTGGGCTTGTGTAGCTTGGAGAAGAGAAAGCTCCAGGGAAACCTTAGAGCAGCTTCCAATGCCTAAAGGAGGCCTAGAAGGAAGCAAGAGAGAGACTTTTTACAACAGCACATAGTGAGAGGACAACAGGGAATGGCTTTAGAGAGGAGGTTTAGATTACCCATTAGGAAGAAGTTCTTCCCTGTGAGGGTGGTGAAGCGCTGACACAGGTTGCCCACAGAAGCTGTGGCTGTCCTATCCCTGGCAGTGTTCAAGGCCAGGTTGGATGGGGCTTGGAGCAACCTGGTCTAGCGGGAAGTGTCCCTGCCCATGGCAGTGGGGCTGGAACTAGATGAGCTTTCAAGTCCCTTCCAACCCAAATCATTCTATGATGCTATGATTCTATATCTGCTTCTATCCATTAAAATTAGGGCTATTAAGTCTTGGTTTTCAACTTACACCAAATCTCACTACTTTATATTCGCTAATATAGTAGGAATGTAAAGAAAATATAACCCCTATCCATATGTGAAATTTAAATACTGGGCAGAATTACATGTAAGCCACTTACTGATAGCACTGTCATGGTATAATATAAAATAGCCTCCTATCTCTAACACCCAAACTGAGGGCTGAAGATGATTTTTTCCTTTTAAGCCAAATATTCCCCGGGTGCAGCTGAGCACTTAACCAAGTCTCTGGACACTACTAAATGATCCCTGCAGTACTTCAGACTTTTCTCCTGACAGTCTTTTCTTGCTCTAGAGCTTAAAAGTATTTCCAGTGTATGTTTTTGCCTTTCGAATAAAAACTAATGCTCATACCTGTAGAGGGCAGTGTAATCTAAGGAATGATGAGTAGCATGCTATGACTATTGTGTAATTAAATTTCCTAGCACCTACTTATTGGCAATAGCAATAATAATTCAAACTATAGTTCCTATAATTTCAGGATGCATGAAGAAAAATTATTGTTATGAGCAGCAAAAATAAATTCAGAAAAGGTATTTTGACTTCTTATTTCTGGCACTGTTTATTAGAGGGTGCTTTGCTAAGAAATGAGACACTAGTTTCCTAATATTTGCTTTGATTTCTAAGGGAGAAAACACTTTCAAATCATTGACTACTGCCTTTTTTAAATCATTTCCTTTAAAAAGGACATTTTAAATGTAATTTAACCCTTGCTCTCAGCAGAATTCATAAAACTTGCAGCAGCATTTTTGTTCAAGTTTTGTATTGTCTTATTATACAAAATTTGAATTTAAAAGTCAACAGTGATAATTTAAACAAATATAGTAACACCTATAACAATGTTTATGATAGGGGTGTTACTGTATATACAAACCTCCTACCAAAAAGGCACTGAAGAACAAGACAGTTCCTATTGCTTACAGACTTCATGACTCCATAACCAAATTTATCATAATAATTTTATTACATTTTCAATAATAAAATGTCAAAAATGCCATCAATAAATATATAATGATGACACAGATTGCTTTTATTAGTTGTGGTCTTCTGTGATTACAGTAGAAATTCAACTTAGAAGTTTTTCTTTTTACCATAATTAATTTTAGAAGTGCATTTCTAATTTGAACTGAGAAAAAAAGTTCCAAAATGTAACCCGTGTCCATTCTGTGGGGTCAGGATTCAAAAAGCAATTAATATAATACAGTGTTATTTTAATGACATGACTTTAAAGGCAGGCTCAGCATGAAATTTGATTTATCCAGGATCTGGAGTCAGAGGCCAGAAGCAGCATGCAATACCCTGGTGAGACAAGGCAAGCAGGCAGACTGACCTGTGGGTCAGGACACTACAGGTGAGCCTGCAATTGCTCCTGGCAGAGTTGTAATGTACAATAAGTACCCCTGGTGATAAAAGCAGCATTACATACTCTATAACCTGTGCTGTAGTTATTCTAAAGGACTGCATAAGAAGCTTTGTTCTTTTTATACTTTATAACGCATGAATCCAGGACAATCATTCTATATACTCTAACAGCTCTGGTAAGTGGATCCATCATTATTCATCAAACAGCATGGAGACTGAATGGAGTATTTATGTCTGAGAGCCTCGGACATTAATTTCCAGCCCATGCGGAATGCTTCTATGAAGTATTACAAGAAGCTTTCAGTCCATCAGACTGCAAACTGGAAGAAGCACAAGATGTTTCCAAGTACAGCTCTGTGTCAAATCAGCACAGCACACCTATCTGATCTGCAGCAATCAGATACACAAATAGAAATTAAGAATTGTTTGGAAATAAAAAAGCGAACATGTTCTAGAGACCAAACTTTGTCACAGACGGCAGCTTCAATGGAAGTACGGGAGATGAAAAGCACATTTGTTACTGACGTGTGTCTACTATAGCAGTTTCCATAAATACTGAAATAAGGAAACAGAGATTATGAGTTATTTTTTCCCTATTGTTATTCACTTGGCATTTTCTCAAGTGATTTTGCTGTGTTGTAACATCAGGGTACAGAAACTGAACAACTCTGAGTTCACAATGAAATCATTCACGGGGTATAAAATTTTAAGGCATATTTGAGACCAATTAAGAAAATGCTCAGCACAAATAGAATTGATAGTAAAGCCAAGCATATTCCTCTCAGATCTTTCTGGGATCTCTGCTGTATGCACTGCAAACCCTAAATTCAACCCTTTGTAATGACTGTAAGACTGGCCTAGGCCTGTCACAGCTCATCCTCTGCAGTGCAACTTAGTGGGTCTACAACAGGTTTGAGACAACTGCAGATGTGAAATATTTATATCCTTTTTGATCCATTTATTTCTACTTTGGAGCATTTTGCAAGAAAAAGAGAGTTAAGTTATAAAGCAATTCAGACTTCTCTCTATACTGAAGTTGATAGGTAAACTGGTGGTAGGAATAAATACGCAGTTTAAATGCATCCTGTGCCTTGGTAATATACAGTGTTTCAAATTTACACTAAAGTTTCCTTTCTATCTACTCTTCTCATCAACTAGGCTGTTACATACAGTTGCAAAATTCACAGCATTAAAATGTGGATACACTTCTAACACTACTGAATGATTAAATTTTATATTATCTACTGAAATTTCAAGGGTTTTTTTTTTTAGCTATTCTTGACCATAACACTGCAAATACACATAGCTGTTAGATTCGAATTGTTAGCTCCAGTTTATGAGTGTGGGCTTAAGCTAACATTAAAAAAAAAAATTGCAGTTATATCAAATTTTTTTCCAGACATTTTACCCAAAGAAATTTCAGGTACTCAAAAGTAATTTTCTCACAGGGACAGGCTCATTCTGTCAAACCAGCGCTTAATTTCAATTGAAATTGAACCCCAGGAAGTTGATAGTTGATTCTGGAGATTACCCACATGTCTTAATTATGCAAAATTCTCATCAACTGTCATTTTTTCCAACCATAAATTTACTCCCCGCTTTCCTGCCTCTTTTACAACTATTATAAATATTAAGATTATCCAGTTGTAAACACCTCTAAGATGATAAAAATATTTAGAAAGTGGAGTACAGATGGAAATTACTATACAACCACTCAAAGGGATTTGCTACATTAACAAACACACATTAGAGAGTGTCTGCTACCTAAGCTTTTAAATGACATCTGGTATTTACTATTGCATAATAATCAGCTAGGACAATCTCTTTCCTCTGAATAGAAAATAACAGCTGAAGTGATTACCATTACTGTGACGGGTGGTTGGCAGTGCTCTGCCATTACACAAGAACATGGAAGGAGCACAATATCCTCTTGCTGAGCTTCATGAGGTTCTTGTTATCCCACTCTTCCAGCCTATCCAGCTCATCCTGCAGGGTGGTTCTCCCTCCCAAACAGTCCAATACCCCACTCAGTTTGCTATCATTGGCAAATTTTATCAGGGTACATTTGATCCATCCAGATTACTTATGAACAGCACTGAACCCTATATTGATCCCTGGGGGACCCTGCTAATGACCAGGTCACCAGGTGGAAAAGGAGCTATACACCACCATCCTCTGGGTGCAGATGGTCAGCCAATTCCCTAACCACCACACTGACAACTTCTCAAGAGTCTAACACATCAGTTTCTCTAGGAGGAGGCTGTGGGAAACCATATTGAAAGACTTTATAGAAATCAAGGTAGACAATGTCTACTGCTCGCACTTCATCAAGTGACAAGCATGTCCTGCCTTTGGAGGAGTACATGCTGTTGTGATCCTCACTGAGAATAGCTGTATCTGGTTTTACTAATGAATATGCAGCAATGTAGACTTTCTGTGAACTAACCTGCAACAGCAGCATCTAATTCATCTTCCTCCACGGACTCCTGAGTAAGGAGGTCTGCCAGTGGAGACAGTGGGTAACAACTGTTGAGGTTCAATCCCAGCATGAAGTTGTGCACTTTCCCAGCACGCCCTTCCCTGGTATTGAAAAGGGCGCTATCGCCCACCAAAGCCATCAGCATTCGCTGCACCCAGCTTTCCTGGCTGCTGTCCTGATATTCTTGATGTGCCTCAGCATTTTCAGTGCCTGAGGAGGAAAATTAAAATAACCAATGGTAAGACAGTTAATATATAAAGTATAAACCCAAGATTTCTGGGTCTACTAAAATAAAGGACTACTAAAATAAAAGAAACTGGCTATAGCACTTTCATCTTTGCTTGTATTTTTAAAAATATAACCAATTTCTTCATGTGAAAATCACTGTTGTTCCCAAACGTACCATCAACTACAAAGCATTATTAGAATAAGACAGAAATCCTGACTAAAATCACAGAAATCCTGATGTGGCTTAGGCACCTAAAGATAATTTTCAATAGGATATTTTCTTCCCACTGCCCAGTGCTCCCCTTGTGGTTGTACCTCTTCGGAGATTTAGGCATTGTTTAAAACATTGTTCCAAACAGTAGGAATTTCCTGTATCAGATGCCATCTGTAAAGGTGCTGAAAGACATGTATGAATGCTAGAAACACAGATTAAACTATTCTCAGGAAAATATTTCCTCAAGGAACCCTTGAAAACAATGGATAGCATTAGTTTACTTGGCTGGTAATTTGAACATGCCCCTGAGCTCAGCAGTTTGATGGGAACAGACTTCTGGATATCACTGGCTCAGCAAGACTCATTTGGGGGTGTATGTGATATTGCAGACCTCTGTGAAGCCCTGCTGGGCTGACACCAAGACTGAAGATATGTGAGAGAATCATTTGATCATCACCTTGAGTGGGAGTCATGAAGTCAAGCCAAAGGACCTCCTGAGGTCTCTTTTTCAAGGCTTCTCTCTTTTGCTGAGCCACTGGCTCCTTTAGAATCCTTGCGCTAGGCAATTAAGTTTACCATTGATATAAATGAAAGCAGATTCTCAGTTATAAGAGACTCAGGAAAACTGGCTACAGCTGATTTCCAGCATCCACAAACTTGACCATAATACACGAAAGCTGATGAAAAAAGTAAATTATGAAATAAAGTGTGAAGATTTCCTTACCTTTTGGGTGCTGTGATTCATCCTCACTGTCTGAACTGTCATTACTTACAAGGTGCTTTAGCCTAATATTTTCTGTTGAAAGAAATAGAAAATTACTTTAAACTGCTAGGGTTTAATTGCCAGAACAGCTAAGAATTTCAAAACAATTTGAGTCATAAAATTATCATAGTCTTCATAAAAGAAAATAGAGCTGAATAAATTTGATTTGCTGTGGACATCTCTATATTCAGTATCTGATCAGAATGTATTTGCTTTAGCTTGCAATTATTGCAAAGCTTCTGCCCTAAGCAGATTAGTGAAAGAGCTGAGAAAACAAAACGTAACACTAAAGCAGTACCTACCACTCACCTCTGCACCACATATCTGACACATTTCATTCACCTTGATTAAAATTTAGATACATAGCTTCTGTCTTCTCAGTAACTCCTAGTAAACTATGAAGACTACTACGTTAATTTCTGTTAATTACCTGCTAATTTTTCTCTTTTTTTTAAATAGGAGCTCTTTACTTCATTCATACATTTATGAGTGGGTACCCTTAAAAATAGTGTGGGGAAAAAAAAGCCAAGATAGTTATGAAAGTTCTACTGGAGTATGTGTGAAAAATAAAGGCCAATACAGTTACATGGGTAGAAAAGACAATGGTTTTCATCTCATAACACTGAATGAGAGAAATAAAACCAGAAATGAGTGAACTTCTCTGTCAAAAACCTGCATTTTGTTAGGGTAACTGCTTTGTTTCCAAAACAATCACTAAATCATTGTCAGTCAATCATTACTAACTTAAAACATTTCAAAGTCGACATGAATACTGAAAAAGCAACATATTCCACTCCTAAGTTAAGGTTTGTAGTGGAGGTAAAATCATGTGAGAATGGATTACATGCTAACTATATTATTTTTGCTAATTATGGGGGGAAGCTTTTCTTGAAATACTGTGGATTTCCAGTGTTTTATGAGCAGTCTCATCTTGGAAGCTTATATCCTACAAAGACTAGAGATGGGCACTGAATTTCAGTGATGCAAATGTACCCGAGAGACTTTTGAAAACTAAACGCCTTTATTCCCTAGTAAAATGTATGCTAAGAATCATCTCTAATTAAAATTTGAAGCCAGTTAAAATAAACTGAATGAGGAGTTTTCCTAGTGAACTTGGACATATTATCAACTAACTTTTTTTATCATTAACAAAATGAAAATAAAATAACATCTTCTTTTTCTAATAGAATGATAATGTAGCTGTTGGTCCCTGGTGGCACACCCTGCATTGGACTGTGATTTTCAACAAATGCTGTAATTTCTATACATGCAGTATCAAAACAACAGCAATTACACTTCACACTTTTTTGTTTAAGTCGAAATTTAATTCCTGTAAGCAGGCCTGGCTGAATAAGAAGATTGAAGAGATTCACCATGGTGTAAAGTGACATAGGACACAGGTCAAAATCAAAATTAGTGACCAAAAAGGAGATAGAGGCAGCTAAGGAGCTTGGTTTTTGTTTATTGTGGGGGTTTTTTTGTGTGCGCGGGGGGGGGGGAGGGGGGGTGTGTGTTTTAAATCAACTCAATCTGCATTTTCCATCTATCCTCTTCAGAAAAATTTGGTGTCTAGTACAACGTATTTGTTGGTTATCTATTTCCCTGAAATGCTGTCTTCTGAATTCATAGGAATTATGAAGTATCTGTCAACTTCTGATCTCTGGAAACTAGCATAATGACATAAAAAAGGGAGTTGGATTCTACTAACTTCATGAAAGTAGTTGGATATATGCATGTGACTTTCAGTACTTCTGATACTGATCAGAAACAAAAGTGAAAGAAAATTACTAACTCTCTTTCTCTGACCTCAACAGCATCTAGCAGTGTCAGCAATTACAGTTGCTTGAATTCCAACTTCTTAAAATGACTATTAGCAGAGTGTCATCCTTCCACAGATGGAGTATGCACTGATTCTTGCTAGTAACTCTCTTGCATAGTAGAAGGATTATTTACTAATATTACCTAATTCTTCTTCCATGGTGGGACCTTTATTCTGAGAATTGGAGACACCAAGCACTCTGTTAAATAATATAGAAAATGCACTGCCCCAGACACCTGAAAAGGAAAAAGTAAACAATGAATGGAGGCTGGTAGAAGGAAAACAAGCCCCCTAAAATGCACTATTTAAGCAGTTGCTTGCTTTCTGAACACACCCCTGATTTTGGAACACATTAACCTGTAAGCTCAGAGGTACATACCAGAAACCAAAAAATAGGGAACGCCAGTCCATGTCTGAAATCTTACAAATGGATGTCTTCCAACAGACTGAGAACTCTACTTCTCATCTCATTCTTTCTGTGACTGCATTTAAAAACCCTTGTCCATGAGCTACTGAAATTTGGTGTATTTTAAAATAAACCACATACTCTGCCACATACTCACCCATCAAGAAATGCAAAGGATTTTCACTATACTTCTTCACCACTGTCCCCATAAAAAATTTGCTTCCAAACAAATCAGGAGACATGAAAGTGCCATACTTTGCCATACCAATCTCATATGGACTGAATTCCACCCAGTCTGCAAAATAAGAAACAAAATTGTACTTGGTGAGCAATCTCAACCTGAATAGAAACAGAGGGTGAAAATACATAAATTAATGAAATCTCTGTCCAAGCAAAAATATTCTAGGTAAATGGGAAGTTAAATACTCAACAGAAATATCTCTTAGGTTAGTCAAAATTTTGGTGTCAAATGAAGGACAGCCTAATGTCTCAGCAGAGAAGAATTCTCATTCTCTCTTATAAACTTTGCTGAAAAAATACGAGGTTGTAAAACCAGAAGTATAAAATTAGCGATCACAAGTGAGAAAAACAAAATGACATCTGGTTTTCATCTCATGCTTTAATATGATTCCCTGTCATGTGAAATGCAACATGGGTCAGAAAGTTCTGAGTTTCTTTTCTTTCACAATGATCCTACCAAAATGTAAAGGGCAGTGGGAGAAGTGGCAGAAAACTTATTTAATATCACAAAATGAAATATTCTACAAGAGGCATTTGGATTGCACCAAAACCTAAAGTTTCTAATGAAATCCCAGATGAAAAAGGTAAAGCTGAGAGTCAGCTGAGAGACTTATCAATATCAAACAATGCCAAACATATTTTTTTAAGTATATGCCATTTCGCTGAATAGAGAGCTCAATAAAATATTTAAATACATTTTCTAATCTTAGCAGAAAAATTTCAGAAGTGATTTACACTCTATGATGCATATGTTTTTAGAAATTGAATTTTAGCTGATTTTGAAATATTTTCTTTGATACTTGTGGAGCTGCTTACATCAGAGAATTCATTTCAGAAAGGGAGCAACAGCAAACAAAAAAAAACCCCTATGTTTATAGTATTTCACCCATTCATGTATTTTATCTTCTGTATTTTATTGGCGATATATTTGACTACTTCTTTAAACAAATTAGAAATAATTCTGAAATAGAATGGCAAAAGAAACATAACTGAAAAATCCCCACAAGTCACAGGATGCTGTCTGCTACTCAAGATGTTGTGTTTCTGTTGAAATGTTAAGCATAGGGTTATTATTTGTCCCGAAAGGAAAGTTTTAACCATGACTGCTGAGAGTTTTATTTCATGGGGCAATGCTTATCTATGCTAAGTCAAATGCAACATCTTATCTTCCAAACACTTCCCATTTATTGGAGAAGCATATTCCTTTGAAAACCCAGTCCAGGAATTTAATGGTATTTCCATTGAGATATATAAACAGGAACTGGCAGACAACTGTTCAGAACCATGTTGACAGAAAAACTGAATTTAGAATTAGAATTAATTTAATCTGTAACAGTCCACTTTCATTTTATATTTGCGCTGAAGAGGATGATTTCTCAAATCACATATCCTGCTTAGGGAAATAAGGTCTCTGCCTTAAAATTAAAGGGCTTCAGCATTATTTTCTGCCATTCCAGAAGCTCCTTGAGACAGTGGCCGTTTAAATGAGCAGGACTTGAACGTCCCAAGAGACAAGAACTCTATACCAACAGAAATACTTAAGTGTTTATATCACAGCAAACCAGGCTATTTTCCTGGGTCTGGCTTAATCCAAGATATACTAAAGTAACACCTCTCATATGTGTTCACTGCATTTTTGGACGTGGACCTGATTTAACTTAGATCACAACTCTACACTGCTTCATACCAGCTAAAGGTGCAACAGATTTTTCCCATTCTCAGGAGGGAAGACAGAGATGCAATCTTTTGCTAACATTAAGCATTTGGTAGGTTCAGGATTGAGCATATAAATGCATAGCCTGTACTCACAGACTGAGACCAAATTCCAGCCTTGCTGCATGCAGGCAGATTAAAACCACATGCGTGATCTGGTATGTGTGATGATCATGGCTAGCCAAGCACTAATTGAGGGATCCCAGTGCTATGAATCCATATTTCAAGGCAGCTCTCCTTCCAAATAAATTCTGCAGAACTTATTGGTACAAAGCAAGACACACACTCACCCTCTTGCAGACATAAGCTTATTATAGTGACTTTCAAGAGCAAAACTGCCAAATCTAAATTTTTACTGGTATGTCATTGCAACAGCAACAAAGATGGTGAACGAGGCTGTTAAGAGATGGGAGCACGAAATACCAAAGCTAAACATTAAATTCCACTCCCCTCCTTAACACTGCATATCCGTATCTTCAGGTAATTTCTTAACATTAAAGAAGCTATCATAATAAAAAAAATAAATCTGTCTTTAAATCACAGTAATTATGCTCAGGCAAAATGATTACTGCAGGTTTGGGTATGCTGGCACCACCTGGGTCGCAAATGCTATTGGTAGGAAACACATGCAGAGCCTGGGGCATTAAAACTATTAGCAGCTGCATGAAATCTTGCACCATCGCAGAAGGAATGTTATCTGATATAATTAATATATTTCAACTTGAAACAACATGAAAGTGCTCACCTGTATCTATAACCCTTTAAATAAGAAAGTATAAATATTTCTATTCAAAATCTGCTAAATATTTCAGATCAAGAATAGCTGTTCAGCTCTAAAAGAAAAAAAAACAAAAACAAAACCCAACAAAAACTTACAATAAAAATTATCAAGATCTAGCACCCTATATAATGATACAGGTGATACTCTTCAAAAAGCAAAACCAAGATCCCTTGGTAGAGTCAATACCTTTTTTTAGGCCTACTGCTAAAGCTACAGAAATTAGACCAGCCTTCTGCTCTTGCTTACAGAAGGCTAGTATTAACTAAAGATAATTTTGCCTTTAAAATGGTAAATAAGTAACCCAAATAAAATTTATCAGTGAACAGAAGCCCATCAAAGAACAAAATACTTCTCAAACAAAAAGGTTTCAGTTTCCTAAGGCAGAAAGTTTCATATTCTCCTGTGAAAAAAAATAACATTTTTCTACCTCATTTTTCATTACATACAAAGTTTTGACAACAAATTCTCCAAATAATCTTTTTAGGAAATGTGGATACATCTGACTTACAAACCGTGGGCAAGCCACTTGGTGTTTCTGTTCTCAGTCTTATACGTAACTATGTACATTACATATCCTTTGTACAGCATTTAGCACAGCTAGACCAACTCTCAACTGATGCTACTAGATGGGATTAAAACCTATGGAATAAATAAAAGCAAAAGCCCACAGGACTTCACACTGTGTGAGAAGTAAAAAAGAAATAATACATTCAATTTGTTTGTTCATTTCTCATTTCACTCAGAGTAATTATCCTGTACGGCTGAAGACATATCCCTTTACCTATTTGATATACTAGTGTTAAGCAGCTTTCTGTTGTTGAAGAGACACCTTGACTCTTACAGAATACTAAGATACTTCAAGAATAAGCAATATTCTTGTCAATTGGTAGGAAATAATTTGTTTTGCAACATATAGGGAATAAAACTTGGCTATCACAGAAACCTAAAAAGGCTGCTATGGTGTTAGACTTAATTTCAAATTAAAAAATAAATAAATATAAATTTAATAAATATACATTTAAAATAGATATTTATAATATAAATATAAATTTAAGCTTCAAAATGGTCTGAGAATAAGTCTCCAAACCCAGGAATGACGGAGAAACAAAAGACATTGACTTAAAATACAGTCTGTCTGCCTTTCCATGGAGAGGAAAAAATGCATCTTAAAAGCCAGTAAATGTCTCAGTTCCATGATATGCCATGAGGAATACAACCATTTGATGCTGCTCTCCACAGCCCTGTAATCTTGGTGCAAATACTGTACTGATTGAATAAGTATCCACCTACTTAAGTATGTGATCACTTATCCCTGAGTCAGTTCTTATTAACAGACTCTACTGTCAGAAGCCACTGAACACAAATGCATCCATTTTCCAATCATCTTTTAAAACCCACCAGAACAGTCCTTATGATGTGCCTGTCAGTATATCCTTCAACATCACAACTTACTATTCTTTTTGCAAATTAAAATCTTCCTGTACTTAATTTACAACAATGTAAATTTTGTTAAGCCCTGAAGAATGTTCTATATCATGGCAAATTCCTTCCTTCCTAAACCTTGCCACAAGACTAATAATTTCTAAGTGTACCAAGTTGCAGGATACAATTATTCTCAGAAGTATTAAAAAAATAGGCTGTTCTGTTAGTCACACACTTCACTCTTCACAAGTGACTCAATACACAGATTGAAAACATACCTGCAAACATTAGCTCCGAGACATCTGGTTTGACATGGAGACATGTAAAGAGTGGGAGAGCACATTGCGCATTATTGACTTTCTCTTTCATATTGCTCAAAGTGGTGTCCATTCTCTGAATAAAAAGAAAGACACTGTGTCTAAATGGATCCTATGAAGTCCTGCTGATATTTGGGAGACAACTACTTTTCTGAAAAGGCAGCAAAGATAACTATGAAAAGCAAACGGACTCTTAAGAGGCTTACACTTGTTAAACAAGGATCTGCATTTCCCTGCAGAAAATATTCTGGAGTCTGCAATCAAGAAAGACTGAGAGTCATCATGACATTACAGTACTAAGATGTCTTATCAGTGAGTATCCAAGAGCCTTATTTCCATTTTCCACCCATTGTTCAGGTATAAGCTAAACATCCGTGCATTTGTTTAACCTCTTAGTAACTGGGACTTCTAACCAACCTCACACAATCATTAATATCCCTTCATTGTCAGAAACTTACTCGATATACCAGTTACTAAAAGCTGTGCTGCCCTTTTAGAATGTTTAAAACCAATGGCAATGTATGCTCATGGAAGATACAAATGTATAAAACATCTGTGAATCTGTTAATACATTTCAATCTTACCATCAGATCAAATACAAATTCTGCTCTCCTAATGCATTTGAACTTGCAGTCTTTGTGCTTGATTCAGTCAATGCAATTATTCAATAATAAAACACAACAGTACGAAGCTCTCCTATGGTCTTGTTTCTCAAAAACAAGTAATAATAGAGATGTGGATCTTTCACCTTGAAATTAGTATTTTGTTAAGCAAATGCTGCCTCTCTTACAGCAAAATGTGCATAAAGAAGTTGCATCACTGTCATGGTTTAACCCAAGAATGGCAACTAACCAACATGCAGCTGCTTGATCCCTCCCTCCCCTGCAGTGGGATGGGGAGGAGAATCAGAAAAAAGACAAAACCCATGGGTTGAGATAAGAACAGTTTAATAATTAAAATAAAGTACAATATAATGTTACTGCTACTACTACTAATAATAATAATAATGAAAAGGGAAATTACAAAGAGAGAAAACTATAAAAAAACCCCAACAAACATCCGTGACGCACAATACAATTGCTCACCAGTCACTGACTGATACCCAGCCTGACCTGAGCAGTGATAAGTCCCTTTCAAGTGACCCCTAAATTTATACACTGGGCATGACGTGCTGAGGTATGGAATACCCCTTTGGCTAGTTTGGGTCAGGTGTCTTGCCTCTGCTCCCTCCCAGCTTCTTGTGCCCCTCCTCACTGGGAGAGAATGACTGGAAAGTCCTTGATCAGGGTAAGTGCTACTGAGCAACAATTAAAACACTGGTGTGTTATCAGCATTATTCTCAGACTAAATCCAAAACACAGCATTGCGCCAGCTACAAGTAAGAAAATTAACTCTATCTCAGCCAAAATCAGGACAACCACTTTGTAATCTTTTGTTGAAATTGCTTGAGCAGTAGTTTTACTGGCTGATACACAATGTTAAGGGCTTGCTGCAAGTACCCACTAACTGAGCTCATTTCTGTTGCATGAAACATGCATGATGTTTTCCTAGGGCTTAAAGAAATAAGAACCATTCAAAAACATGCCCCAGAGCAAGGAAAGCATTTTACAAGTTTTTTATCCAGTATCTGCTCACTTGTAACTTCAGGTATTCCTACTACTGAACATGGTTTGTTAAATGTTACCAAGGTTATTTAAAAAAGATAGTGGTTTGGTGTGCAATAGTTTCACAATTGTCATAATCATAAAAAATAAACTTACATTATGGATAAGTGTTTCACCTATTAGCATTCCAAAGATATCTGTGAAGGTGACAGGCTGCCCTGAGCTTTTCTTATTCCACAGTGCTTCAATGTAGCGTTTGACTTTCTGAGGAGTGAGCAGCAGAAGTGGGTTGTGACTGACAGAGTTCATCAATTCTTGATTAATCTCCTTTGGCCCTTTTTCTGGAAAATCCGGATGTGAATACAAAGTTGACATGTACCTGCAATGGAAAATAGGATCTGTAAGTATCAAAGCCTGGTTCAATGTCAGCTGCCTGAAATGTACAATAAGCTCATAAATAATTTGATACAATTACTGACTAAATCAGACTAATTTACTCAACATTCATATCGTAAACTGCCGTTTCCTTTTTCTCAAGGCATAGAAAGCTAAACAATTTGTTCTAAATGTAAGCATACAATCAAACACTCAACATAAATTTCCAGAATGTGTATGATGCTCCTCATTTATCTGTTTAAGGGATAATGGACAGAATCATCATAAGCTGAAAAAAGAGACTCTCAACTTTGTCAGAGAGTACCTAGACTGAGCAGACTGGAGGTCCTATAAGCATACATGCAGTTATTTCACTCTAGAATGGACCTCTGTCACTCTCCAGTTCATTATCACTATTCAAAAATTCCTAAGTACATCAGTATCCGGTATGCTTTCCAGGATCTAGGTGCTTTCATAATAAGTTGAAGCACTATAATTAAAACCCATGCAGAGATTTAATTGACTGTGAGGATTCAGAAGAGGCCTATCAGGCAAATCTTGTTTTTGTCACTCAGTAGTAACTCTGGAAACTGAAGCTTTGTTTACCCAAAACAAAAGTTAGACACACATCCAGACAAATGTGGTCTGCACTTGACCTGGCTTATTCACTATTGGTGAAGACTCAAGATAGGCTGTCCTAATCTACTAGATGCCCATTTAACTATTATTTATTCATTCAATTAACTGGCTCACGTATACATTCCATACTGCAGGTATAACTTTGCACAGCAGTGAGATATACACTCTGTAAGCTTGGCCCTGAGATCACTGCCTGGCAATTTACTTGACAGCGTGATGAACCTTATCACATGCATGGTGTAAGAACTTGAATCATTAGTCCTTGTGCAGTCTCTAAAGCTTAGCATGCCCGTCAGCTCGTGGATGGAACAAACACAGCAGCAAGCTTCCATGTGAGCAGAGAAAGGGAAATGCAGGATGAGGAATTCAGTACAAGGTTGAAGCAAGATGACAAAGGCAATCGAGGTAAATGCATTGCTCCAAGGTTAGACATGCATCTGGGGGAACAAGTCAAAACCTGCCTCTCCCACCAGGAAAGGAATTCTCCACCCTTCAGGAAAAGAAAAAAAAAAAGGCATTATTCCCAAGTAATAGACTGCATGGAAAAAAACGGAGAAGAAAAGGAGTGCCAAAGTGTCAATTTATTTATTCATCAGGCAAGGAAAGTCTGAATAGGTGACATCACCAAAGCAGCAAACCCAAATTTGTTTAAATACAGTTGTTCCCAATATGTTTCTGACTGACCCAGTTCAGATAATCTTGCTCTTTTAATACAGATTTTATAGGTTTACATTAGATCAGCTATGTATTCACACTTCGGTTTTCCGAAAAAAGGACTCATGGCCAGCTGTTTTCAGAATGTAGTCTACATGTCATTCACTAGAAACACAGTGAAAATTTTTCACACTACATTACACTATCCAATTGCTCTTCATCCAGACAAATGACATCTACTTTTCACAAATTTGACATAATTACACCCATGTCTCTCAACAGACAGTGATAAATCTGCCCCCCCAACTACTAGTGATAGAAAACCAAGGTTCCAGAAATGCCAGTGTTCTGTAGTCCATTCTGAATGAGGAACTTACTCTGTATCATAGATACCTTCTGGCATTTCAAAACCTTCTAGCGTTTTGAAAGCTTTCTGCCTAGTCTGCAAGGGGAGAAGCAAGCTTCACACAAGTGAAAAATAACTGAAAAAAAAAAAAACCCACAAGGAATAGAACAGTACATTATCTGTTCAGAAGAGGCAACAGCTTTAGAGTTAGAGTATTTCCTTAGAAACATAGAACCAACATTCATGTGGCTCCTTAGAGCTAAACCAGGGGATAAAACTCATCCTAGGCATATTCCCTGCTCATTTATATTTAGCTATTCGAACAAAAGTCTTTTTCCCTTACTCTTGAAGAAATAAGACATTCATATAATCTTATAATTTAGACTTAAAGGAACCTCAAGATTTCTATTCCAACCTCCTGCTCAATGCAGATCCAAATTAAAAGTCAGATCAGGTTGCTCAGGGCTTTGTTCAGTCAAGTTCTGCTTTCACATGAAGTATTCACTGAGTCAGATAGACAGAGGATGACTTTACCCAGCCTAGTCAAGTAAGGATGGGGCAATACATTCCACTGCTTGACCACTCTCACTGCAAAATAACTTTCCTAATAGCTAATTACATTTCTTTTGCTGCAACTTATGGTCATTGCATGTTGTCCTTTCTCTCTTTTTAAAGAGTTTTCTTTACATCCACTCGGTAGCTAAAGATAACATGGAGACCTCCCCTACCACTATCTCTGCCTATTCCTCAAGGCTAAACAAATACAGCTACCTCACTTTCTCATGTGCTCTAATTTCCTAATTGCCTAGGCGGTACTCTGATAGAATTAAAACAGTTTGTCAACACTTTTATTGTACTAGGTGGCCCTAAACTGGATTCAGATCCTCTGATATTCAAACTGGTACAGTTATGATAAAATCGTGTTTTGTAACATTTGAGATACTCCCTTGAAAAGTTCAATATTTTCTTAAGATGTAACATCCCTGACTGAAACCCTATCCCCCTGACATGAAAATCAAGTTTTAAAGTTAGACACAAAAAAGCCTGTAATTTTTCACTTAATGAAAAAAATGTAGTGTTAAGGAGTCCAAACAGTTAAGAAATTCAAACTGAATTTGTCAGATGTCTTTGGCTGATGAAAATTATACAGCTTTTAAATATGTTACATCATTTCATTTAAGAAACATCAAAACTAATAGTTGCAACATTTGTAATAAGTGTCATCTAGGACAATATTTGTAAAAGCCAGTCAGGTGAACTTCCCCACGACTGGAAAAAGGGACATATAACCCCCATTTTCAAGAAGGGGAAAATGCATGACCCGGGGAATTACAGACCAGTCAGTCTCACCTCTGTGCCTGGCAAAATCTTGGAGCAGATTCTCCTGGAAGGCATGCTAAGGCACATGAAAAACAACAAGGTGCTTGGTGACAGCCAGCATGACTCCACTAAGGGGAAATCCTGCCTGACCAATTTGGTGGCCTTCTATGATGGGGCTACAGAACTGATGGACGGGGTAAAGCAGTTGATGTCATCTACCTGGACTTGTGCAAAGCGTTTGACACTGTCCCACACAACATCCTTGTCTCTAAATTGGAGAGACATCAATTTGATAGGTGGACCACTCAGTGAATAAAGAACTGGCTGCACAGCTGCATGCAAAGAGTTGGGGTCAATGGCTCAGTGTCCAGCTGGAGACCAGTAATGAGAGGTGTCCCTCAGGGATCGGTGTTGGGACCGGTCTTGTTTAACATCTTTGTCGCTGACATGGGCAGTGGGATTGAGTGCGCCCTCAGCAAGTTTGCCGATGACACCAAGCTGTGCGGTTCGGTTGATACGCTGGAGGGAAGGAATGCCACCCAGAGGGACCTTGACATGCTTGTGAGGTGGGCTGATGCCAACCCCATGAAGTTTAACCATGCCAAGTGCAAGGTCCTGCACCTGGGTTGGAGCAATCCCAGGCACAGCTACAGGCTGGGCAGAGAAGAGATTCAGAGCAGCCCGGCAGAGAAGGACTTGGAGGTGCTGGTCGATGAGAAACTGAACATGAGCCAGCAGTGTGCACTCAGAAAAGCCAACCATATCCTGGGCTGCATCAAAAGGAGCATGAGCAGCAGGTCGAAGGAGGTGATCCTGCCCCTCTACTCTGCTCTCGTGAGACCTCACTTGGAATACTGTGTGTAGTTCTGGTGTCCTCAACACAAAAAGGACATGGAACTGTTGGAACAAGTCCAGAGGAGGGCCACAAGGATGGTCAGGGGACTCAAGCACCTCCCATATGAAGACAGGCTGAGGAAGTTTGGGCTGTTCAGCCTGGAGAAGAGAAGGCTGCGGGGAGACCTCATAGCAGCCTTCTAGTATCTGAAGGAGGCCTATAATGATGCTGGGGAAGGATTCTTCATTAGGGACTGTAGTGACAGGACAAGGGGTAATGAGTTAAACCTTAAACAGGGGAAGTTTTGATTGGATATAAGGAGAAAGTTCTTTACTGTGGGGGTGGTGAGGCAGTGGAATAGGTTGCCCAAGGAAGTTGTGAATGCTCCATGCGGTGTTGAAGGCCAGGTTGGACAGAGCCTTGGGTGACATGGTTTAGTGTGAGGTGTCCCTGCCCATGGCAGGGGGGTTGCAACTAGATGATCTTAAGGTCCTTTCTAACCCTAACTATTCTATGAGTCTGTGATTCTAAGACAAAAGGATGCAGGTTCATAGCACTGGGGAGGGGGAAGAGAAACCTCCCCAGTCAGAAACCCTGTGTTTGAGCCAGATGTAATACTGGGGTTCAAAGAGTTCTAAAAAATCCTACGCTCATAACACCCAGAGAGATCCTTTCATACAGTGACATCACTGATTTCCTGCTGTTGATGTTCCTGTTAATGGCCTGAGGTATTCACTGAGTCAGAAAGAAGGATAGGGCATTCTAATTGAGACATCTTTGAAGATCTTTGCTCCCATTTGACTTACAAACTACTTTAAAAAAAAAAGATGTAATTTACAAATTAAACAGTGACAGTAGGATTCGTATAAGGCAATCCACAGCAGGATGCCCTGCAGCATGGCAGGCAGTCAGTATTTTTTCCTAAAAGCTGGACTGCATCTGCTCAAATCTCCTTACATTAGGAAAGATCAATGACCAGGTTCAGGACATCCCCAGTAAATCTATTGAGAAAAGGACTAGAGCGTCTATGACAAAAGATTTTTCAGTGATTTTGAGAATCTCTGAAAAGTTGCCCAAGAGTATAAAATTTTCAGCTGAATGAGTCATCATCTTCAAATAGCAAAGACTTCTTTTTTTTCCTTTTTTTTTTTTTTTTTTTAGGAAAATAACACAAGAAAGTATTTTGGATTTGTATCAACAGCTTGAATACTTAATTTTTGGTTACCAAGATGAAAAAATCAGTTACACAATCCTAATAAATACAGTACTGGCGGTTGATACAGAAATGTTGGCTCGTACATGTAACACCTCTTTTCATCCATTCCTGCTCTCCAAGATCCTAGGAATATCACCTGGAGATACAGCTGCTCTCCCACTTTGAAACATTCCAAAACACCTCCACCAGCATACTTGCTCCAGTGACCTGCTATGCTGCAAGATAGCTGCCTCCTTCCGTCTTCCTCATACTAAGAGTGTATGCCTAAAATTTGCTGTGAATTATAACCTTAGAAATAAGCCAAGTCTAATGAAAATTCATTCTTGAACCTACCGAAAAAAAACTGTAGAAAAACAAAAGAAAATCCCTTACCATGTGGATCCTGACAGACCAGCAATGTAAGTTGCACAGTCTAAAATTCCTGATTCATAAAGTGCTTTCATCACTCCAGCAAACCCTACCATGGCACGAAATCCACCTCCTGAACCCAATATCGCTATCACTGGTACCTGCATAAATGAGAAGAACAGCATATCACCACATCAATTTTGATAAAAACTTAAAAGTAGTAAGTGAACATTATTCATCCATCACTGGCCAAACGTACCTGCCTTGAGCAATTAATAGGTCACCATCCAGAGATCCTCACCACAGTGAAAAAAACTGTGCTTTTCTAAACCTCTGCACAAGAGTTCTAACAAGCCAAGAAGAAGCTATTCTGCACATTTTCAGCAGTATGTGTGTAAAAGAATGACAAAATACTTTAATAAAACACTTTTGAGATATGACTTTTAAACACTGTACATAGAACAGAACAGTATTGTAATCCTACCCATGAGGTTACCAGTCCCCCCAGGTTGTCTAGGCCCAAGAGTGATGTACAATATTTGTATGCCATACTCAGTACCCTTCTGCCATCCAGAGGTGGATGGCAGGAGTACTTCTGGACTGTGGCAAGGGAGGAGAGCACTGCTGAATACAGTTAACAGAAGCCTGAAACCAGCCAGCACCATGAGAGGTTTTGCCAAGGTGGAACACTCACAGAAGGGCAGAGCAGACTTTCTTCCAGCTTTCTATTTATCCTGTAGCCTGGGACCATTAGCAACCAGGAGGTGCAGATGGCATATAACAAAGCACCTGGCATACGTGGATATAAAGGGAATTTTAATGAATTTAAATTCATACAGGCAAGAAGGAAGATATGACTGAGGCAACACAAGGGCAGGAAGACAGCATGAATTCCCAGGAGAGGGAGAGCTGAAAGCTTGCTACAGCTTACAGGCAGTAAAAGAAGTCTTCCCTTTCACCTACAGCTTTTAGCCTCAGTTCAGAGCCCTGGTGACAGAGAAGGAACAAATGCTGTCAGGGAGCATTTTGAAGAAGCCTTGCTTGCTGATGAAGATGGTCCATGGGAAAACAAGGAATCCACCTGACAAACAGAGTGGGAAACACCTTCATGGATGGACTTGCTAACCTAATAGGGAAGACTTGAGACTCATCTGCAGGTTCCTGCTCAGAAAGAAGAGTGTTCAAGACTTATGTCAAATATCTCAATATTAATGCACAGAGACATCAAAGAAGAAAAACTGGAAGTTCAAGTGCAGTCACAGGTCTGTGACATAATCAGAATGCCACAACTTGGTGGGAGAGCACACATCTAGCACACTGCCATGGAGGGGTGCAGGCTGGGAAGACAGGCAAGAGAAAAGGGTGTAAGGGGGTTCTGCTCTACAGGAAAGCATGCCCTTGATTGCACAGAATATCAGGATGCAACCAGAGACATGTCTTTTGGGAGCTCCTGGAACATGATCAGAAAGAAAGCAATGCTAGGGATGTTGTGGCAGTCAGATTCAGACTGCTGACCAATGGAATGATGTGGGTAAGGCTTTCTCTAAAAAAAAACACCAGAAGTCTCCTAATCTGGCTGTGGTCTTCACGGGGGAATTTTAATCCCCTTCTGAAAGGTCAGCATTGTGCAAGCCATCCAGGAAGTTTGTAGGCAGCCTTGGTGACAATTTCCTTATGTTGGAGGGGCTGACTAATGCTGCACCTCACCTGCTGCTCACAAATAGTAAAACAACAGGGGCAAATGCGGCCACTGGGAGCTGCTTGGCCTGCAGTCCTCACAAAGTGACTGAGTTCAGGATCAGGCCAAGATTGGGAAATGAGCATCGGAGTTACAACTCTGGAATTCACTCAACTCTGGATTGTTCTGGGACTTGCTAAGCAGAATCCCAACAGTTTTCTCTGTCAGCCTTGAACTGAGTGTTGTCAATAGAGAAGTGGGAGTAGCTGACCTCCAGAGATCCCTTCTAAACAGTACTTCTACAACTTTGCTATATCATACTCTTTATTCACTACTACTTGCTAATAGAGCACAATCACTGCACATAATCCTCCACTTCAGGTTCCTTACGGGAACAGAAAGTTAATGCCTGATATTTTTTTAATTCTTTAGGTTAAGTAGTAAAAAAAATATATATAGTGAAAGTAAAATACTACCATTATGCCCCTCCCTAACTTCCTGTCTACTGAAGTAATGTATAGAATTTCAAGTTCAGTTCATTTGCACAGATATCTGGCACTGCTTCAGACCTTAAAATGCAACCAATAGGTCTACAAATTGTGTGAATAAACCATCAGATCTCAGCATTAGTAAGTTGTTGCCCCCATGACAACCTGTTACTTAAAACACTAATTGCCTGGTATTTGAAGAATTAGTATTTATTTAAAGAAGTCACCACTTGTAGCAAGCTATATAAGTAAAAATATACTAAGAATTTCCTTAGAATGTCTGTCCTTCTTATCCACAACCCAAAATAGAGAAGATATTAAATTTAGTTATTAAAGAAACTATTCAGTTACAAGACCACAGAAATTTTAAAAGCAATCCAAACACCAGCTTTAATCCAAACTGTATCTTTGTGACAGAGCCAAAAGCAGTAAAAGTTACTAATCAGAAACAGAAGAGAGAAAAATAATATTTTGATTAGGAGTTTAAAGACACATTTTATAATAAAACCATCTGATACTACTACGTAGCATGAAAACAGTCTTAAATTTACAACTAGCTTGCAAAACCTACAGGAGAGATAAGGAGAATGTATGTGTACCTGCACACCTATTCAGCTACCAAGAGACAGTAAAGTCAGCAAAACCAAACCTAGTTACATACTGAAAATGTATCTACAGGGGTTTTATTTTAGACTTATTTCCTTCTTACTTCCCAGCCCTGACTTCAAAGCTGTTCCTTTCCTCTGCATATTTTCCCCAAGTATCTAGAAATAAAATCAGTGAAATAAAATGAAACAAAAATTCACTTTCTACCATCCTCAAGTGTTTTAAACTAAGCAAAGTACCATCTGGTTCCTTTTCCAAAACCTAGAAGAATGTTCCACTGTTCAGTGGTGATAAGGTAACAACTCCTTGGTTGTTACTAAGTATAAAAAGAATTACACAGTTGTGCAGAAAGCCCCTATCTGATCAAACTGGTAATCAATCAGTCAAAATTTTCACTAAAAGGCAATTTAAGGTGCCAATGGATTGCATTAGTTACAAGAAAAGAAACCATGTTACTACTGAGTTCAGTTTCTTCAGATTCCACACTCCAAGCCATGAAACATCCTTGTGGACTGAAAACACAATCACATGGAAATAAACATGCACAATGACGAGTTAAGTTGAGACATTTCTTGAGGCTTCCAGTTCACAAAAACTGCTGATTCTTGATGCAGTAAGATTATTTTATTATCTTCTTCATAAATGTTAAGCTTTAGTAATAGAAACCACAGGTATTTACTGGCATTAGTATTCGTCAGGCACATCCAGAGATAGCTATCTATCAAAAAAATGACAAAACAAAGGTAAAGATTTAGCACATGCCTGTTTTGTTAAGCCAACACCCCAGTAACGGAGCAGTTGCTTTGAACAGAAGAGCCATATTACTAATCACAAATTTAATAATGTACGTTAGGCTTTGAAAGCTCTTTACAAACACCACCTAATTAACCTACACAGACAAATCCCAACAGGATGAAGACGGTGGTTTACAAGCCTGGAAAAAGTATGTGAAAACACTTCCAAAGCACCACTATTCAACAAATCTATTCATCAGTGAAGTGGCATGAGCACAAGGGGAAAATCTGAGTTTTCTTCAGGATGCAGAAAAATCCATGCGAAGGATCAACAAAGAATGTCGAGGAGTCACTAGCATCCTTACTACAAATGCTTCCTGTATACTTAATCCACAGCCGTTTTAGAAATCATAGATTCCTATACTGGGGAAGCATGAGTATACGGAGAGTTAGGTGGATATACAGTACTTCTTCATTTCCACTACATACCAAAGCTAAGTACAAAGAGCTGCAATCACTGCTTTCAGTTCCAGAAATTAATTCAACTAAAGAGCTCTAAAGCAGAGGCTGCAGCTTAAGTAAGCTACCCATGGTAAATAAAGCTGTTAAGTTGTGAAAAAATAACTCAAGAGAAGCATCTCTTGCACATTTATATTCATTTATTTCAGTCAACTGAATACAAGTTGTCAGGGGGTGAAGTTTAAGAGCCCTTTCCAGCTTTGTAGAGGAAGGTAGAGCGCATTTCCAAGCAGGTAGGTTGTTAAACTAGCTTTCCATCTGCAATTCAGTTTCCAAATTTTCTTGTCATATTTAAGGGCAAGAAATAGTAAAATCTGAAGCTACACACACCCATCTGACAGGTTCCCAAGAGGATGAATAGGGCAGAGACAGAGGGGAAACAGCTGCAGATAGAGTAGATAGGGAAAAGAACCAAGAAGCGATCTCACGATTGAGAAGCAATGGAGAAAAGACAGGATACCAAGGTGTGCACACTTCTCCATGTACACATGCTGGGGCTAACACATTCCACTCTTTGAGGTACTCTGAACCCCAAGTCCTCTGAATCCCAGTAAAAGTGGGGTAGAGGTACTAAACCCATTCAAGCAGATTTACAAACTTAGAACAAAGGGTAAGTGACTCACAAGAAAGTGATGCAGTGAGTCAATCGCAAAAATGTGAATTGAACTCAAAAGTCTTGGAGACAAAAGCCCAGTGCTCTAATCCCTGTCCAAGCTGCCACACTCAGTTCTGTATGGTTGTGCCCAATTCTGAACAGTCAAAAGGCTGTGTTAGCATGACTTCCTTCTTCCTATGGTTTGTCTGCACATCATAATACTGAGGGACTCAGCTTAGATATCATATGAACAAACTCCATTGAACAGGATTTAACAATGAAGTGTTTTGCCAAAAAAACTGTACTGTTTCTACAATCCATGGGGCAGTGTACAAGCTTGGCTCCACACAGTTGCACTTCAATCAATGAACTCCTCATCTCAGCAAGGGCTGATTGCTTCATCATCAAACTAGGCATGCAAATGAAAAGGATTTGGGAAACAAGACATGTTTCAAGAAAAGCTAGCTCTGAAAAATGCATCAGTCATATTTTCCAGTAATCTGGGGAAAAAAATAAAAAAGCTAAAATATATTAAATCTTGGTTTGGAAATGAGTGGTACAGATGGTTCTATCCAAATGCCCTGGAAACAGTGCATAAAATCTGGGCAAAAGTACCTGTGGTAGAAAAAAATGTTGCCACAGGGTACACAGATGATTATTTGAAAATTGTTCTTCAAATCCAGCCTTATAGAATTGTATGTTTTCTTTCACTGATGACAATATTTTTAGAAAATTGTTTAAAGCAACAGAAATTAGAAAAATAAACTGAGCAATGACACAGGTACAAGAAATCTCATCCCGTGTTTTCAGAATATATCTTGACAGTAAGCATGAAAATCTGGAAGCACTCACTTCCCCTTCCAGGGACGTATAATTATTTCACAGGCATTAAAGTCTCATAGCATCCCTGCAAGGCATGCATGTTGCTGTTCACAGATGAAGAAACTTAGATGAACTTTGAGTAAGTGACTTGTTTAAGATTAAACAATGACTCATAGCCAGCTAAGAATACTCATAATCTCTCCTGACTTCTGATGCCATGTTAAGAATAAAAACATCCTATAAATCCTCCTGCTATCTTCCATCTGCAGCAATAAAAGTAAAAATTACAGGCTAGAAAGACTAAACTATATTTTAATTTGAACAAAAAGTGTTTTTTTTTTTCGTCCCTAGAAGCAGCTAAAAATTCTGACAAGTCAGCTTAGAAATACACACCTGACATGAAAAACAAGAGAATCACATTACCTCAGTCCTTCCTAGGGTTGGTAAGCTTACAATTAGACATTACTGTCTGGTCTTGAAAGATTCATTTTAACTAATAATATTTCAGTACTTGAGACAGTGAGGGATAGCAAGGGAAGATTATGGCAAAAAGAATACGACATTTTACCTAGTATTTACAATAATTCATGCACACATGCCACCTGCATAGAACTGATATTTCAGGCACCAAGTGCACTCCAGTTCTAACTGGATCTTGGCAGAATACCTGCATTCTTTCAGTGAAAGATATTATTCTGCTGTAGAAGATCAAACCAGTGTCATATTCACAGATATCTACTCTGAGAGATTTGCATTTGCTAAGATTAGAACATCCAAATTGAAAATTAAAAAAACCTTAAAAACTTTCCTTTACAATGTGTACAATTTTTAACAGTACAAATAAACCAGGTATTATCAAATTCTTTCATCTTCCTCAGAAAGCTCACACAAGCACATCTTACTAGGCAAGAGTTCAAAAGCATACAACAATAACACAACTTTTTCAAGGGCATGTAGGGATAGGACAAGGGGCAATGGCTTTAAACTGAGAAAGGGGAGATTTAGATTAGCCATTAGGAAGAAGTTACTTACTGTGAGGGTGGTAAGGCACTGCCACAGCTTGGCCAGAGAAGCTGTGGCTGCCCCATCCCTGGCAGTGTTCAAGACAAGGTTGGATGGGGCTTTGAGCAACCTTGTCTAGTGGAAGGTGTCCTGGCCCATGACAAGGGGCTTGAAATGAAAAGATCATTAAGGTCCCTTCCAACTTAAAGCACTCTATGAACACATCTACCACCTGCTCAAAACTTCATAGAAATTTAAAAGAAATTCCTTCAGTATTGGTTCCACCTTCTGCAAAAGTCTGTCACATGCTGCTTATATTAAAGATGTACAAAACAAATCAATATCCATGAATTAATCAACCCAGATTAATTCACTGACTCTGTTCATTGCTCGACACCCCTGACATTACACACAAGTCTTCCTGTCACAATTTTGGGAGCAGAACAAGAAACGGAACAAGCAGGGAAGAAAGAGGATGGAAAAGCTACTACAAAACAAGCGATCTGTACCAAGTGTATCCTTAATAAACTCATAATAATGCAGCGTTTTATGAACTCATTGAAAAGACCAGCAGGGTTTGACACCCTTCCTCACTTTGATGTGACCCAAACCACCATCAGTACATCTGGATCTGTTGTCTTAACTTTCTGTTGGCTTGGTACAGAGCATGAGCAACTTAATGAAAGCTGCAGTTTCTCACATTCACTAAGAAATAAACTTCATCATCCTAATCATGTAAAATGGGATAAAGGGAAACAAAAAAAGAATTAAAAAAATTACTTAACATTGAAACAGCTCATTTCCTGAATAATCTTTTAGACACAAAGGCCATACAGCAGGGCCATCTTAAAAGGCCAGGCTGGATATCAAACATGCAAGGGCAGATTCTGCTGCTGGGGATGTGCCCAGAGCCACCACATGCTTCTTGTGCAGCAGGTATTTTGCACACCCTTTAGGCATTTTTCAGATGACAATCTCAGCTCAGAACAACACCTTAACAAAGTATGGAACACAGAGCAAAATGAAAACCATGGACTAATCTCCTTTGCCCAATTTTAACCTAGACGCAGCCTGACAGTAGATAAACAATAAAGAACCAGAGAAAAGATACAGCAGTTTATTTAAGATGCCAGTGCAAATGAAAAACTGTGATTTTGATCTTACGATGGCATTTACACATACTGTCCTTTTGTCCATAATGGGCATATCTTATTATATAAGTGCAGCTTCATTTTGGCACAGGATTTTGTCTCCGTAAATTTTAAGCTATAAATTTACAGCCCAAGAAAAATTATTCTCCAGCCCAAAATGTTGTATGCACTAAAGAAAAAAGAAATTTTTGGGTTCTGCCATCTGTGTTTACAATGAACCTTTTTACCTAATGTGTCTTACTCATCCCTTTAAGAGACAAATGCAGGACTCCAAAGTTTCCTGACGGGAATTCTCCAGACTTACATCACGGGAAGTGGTCAAGTTCTTGCTTTTTTCCTCTCCTAGAAATGATTTCATACTGTGCATGATATTATCTTTTCGCTGGTGCCGAAATTTCTTCTCTTCATCACACAGAGCCATGCTGAACCGGAGATCAGTTGAAGAGCTATTTTGCAAAAAAGACAAGCTTTAACAAAAGGCATAATTAAAAAGAGAATTCAAAATATCACCTAGGGAAATAAGTGGAAGTAAGAGTAAATCCTAATAAACTTACATAAGCTGAAACAGATAAAAATAAAAAATACAATAAAATGAAATAAAAGAAATGAAATAAAATAAAATAATGGTTATTGATTTGACACAATTGTATCAGCTAATTCTATAGAGTGATGGACATGAACAATGGCACACTGCATCTTTACATCTTTAAGATATTTTATACATTTATCAGACATTTTATGCATTTTATATAGAAAACGCATTGCTCTCATACTAGTGAAAACCAAATGCAAGATATGCAGCTTCTAGTGCTATATAATGTGGTCTTTACTAAAGTTAACTAAATTAAAATGTAGCAAATGAGTTCACCACTCATCCAATTATGAATCTGCAGTGTAGAAATTTGAATACCCTGCACAGAACTATAACAAAAAATTTTCATACATTCCTACTAAAATATACTCTTTGTAAGTTTGAGGCTCATGTTTAGGGAGGAGAGCACAATTTTAACTCTGTATTCATTCAGTCCTACAATCAAAAACTATGGATCTCAACTGGCTGACCACAGGAAAAACTAAGGATTTTTATCTAGCTTTCTCTCCATATTGTGTGATCAAAAATGTACATAGGGCTGTATAAAGACCTCAATACTGTACTTAGAAGCTACAACTTCAGTTCCCATTTCTTATTTCAGGCATCATGGCAGGATAAATACTTTGAATTGCCACCTCATTTAGACTCACTGAGCCTCTATGCCATTCGAAGGGTTGGAACTAAAACAGCTCCCAGCAGCACTGCCTCCAGAAGACCACAGTGAGGAGTGTACAAATTCACCCTGCTATCCATCCACCTCATTGACATTCCCATATTCACAAAGAGGGGGTAAAAATGTTTGTGGATACTTTGACATGTTAGTTACAAGGCAGCAGTTTTAAGAGTCCTTTATGAAAACAGTGAAATGGATCTATTTAGGCACAGAAAATAACTCTTCAGATTAAAAAAATAAATAAATAAAATTATGTAATGAAATAATAGGATTAAGAAAAGGGAGGGAAAAAACTGCCTAGAAGCAATGTTCCATAAATGTGCATATGATAACTCTATATAAGAGGTCCATTCAGATTCCAAAATCTGTGCAGCCATCCAAGAGTAATAGAGCAGAACTTGATCAGACCCTTTAGTTTAACATATTTCAAAGCCTACTGCCTAAGAACAGCAAAACATAGCCAAGCATCTTCTGTTTATTTAATGTCAGAGATATGAAATACCTGTAATATACAAACCCAGCAAGGTTTAGGGGTGGTCTCAAGGACCACCCACATATGCATCTTTGCTAGCACGAAATAATGAGGAGAAATTACCCCTGAGGGATGTTTGTCAGTCACCAGAATCATTATGAAAGACTTCTACATATACAGTTACAGTGCTCAGCACTGCTATTTACAGTTACAGACAATAAAAGGACTCTTTAAATGCCTTGTTCTCAGCAATTTTTAGACTTTAAGTCTAAAGTTATTTTTTTTATTATGCCTCAAGGTGATTTTGGTCTTTCACCTAGATAGGCTAAGAAAGAGGGAGAAAGACAGCTAGAGAGGAAAAAAAAAGGTAGGCATCTGCTTAGCTTTACACAGGGTGAAATCCTGCTCCTACTGAGATCTTCACCATTGACTTCAGTACTGAATGGTCTTAACGTTCAAATACATTTCAGGGGCAGCTTTATAATGAGTATCCGTATGTGCTAAAAGTTAATGTGAGATGCAAAGTTACCACAGAAGGTAAAACAATGAGGATAACAGCTAAACCATGACTTTATTAGAGAAAAGGCCCTTGAAAGGCCCCCACGGGTCCTGAAGGAGATGGCGAATGAAATTGCTAAGCCGCTGGCCGTCATATTTGAAAAATCATGGCAGTCAGGTGAAGCTCCCGATGACTGGAAAAAGGGAAATATAACCCCCATTTTCAAGAAGGGGAAAATGGATGACCCGGGGAATTACAGACCAGTCAGTCTCACCTCTGTGACTGGCAAAATCTTGGAGCACATTCTCCTGGAAGGCATGCTAAGGCACATGAAAAACATCAACGTGCTTGGTGACAGCCAGCATGGCTTCACTAAGGGGAGATGCTGCCGAACCAATCTGGTGGCCTTTTATGATGGGGCTACAGAACTGATGGACAGCGGTAAAGCAGTTGATGTCATCTACCTGGACTTGTGTAAAGCATTCGACACTGTCCCACATGACATTCTTGTCTCTAAATTGGAGAGACATCAATTTGATGAATGGACCACTCGGTGGATAAAGAACTGGCTGGAGGGCCGCACACAAAGAGTTGTGGTCAATGGCTTAATGTCCAGCTGGAGACCAATAACGAACGAGTGGTGTCCCTCAGGGATTGGTGTTGGGACCGGTCTTGTTTAACAAATTTGTCGCTGACATGGACAGTGGGATTGAGTGCGCCCTCAGCAAGTTTGCCGATGACACCAAGCTGTCTGGTTCAGTTGATACGTTGGAGGGAAGGAATGCCATCGAGAGGGACCTTGACACACTTGTGAGGTGGGCTGATGCCAACCTCATGAAGTTTAACCATGCCAAGTGCAAGGTCCTACACCTGGGTGGGAGCAGTCCGAGGCAAAGCTAAAGGCTGAGCAGAGAAGAGATTCAGAGCAGCCCTGTGGAGATGGACTTGGGGGTGCTGGTCGATGAGAAAATGAACATGAGCCGGCAGTGTGCGCTTGCAGCCCAGAAAGCCAACCATATCCTGGGCTGCATCAAAAGGAGCGTGACCAGCAGGTCAAAGGAGGTGATCCTGCCCCTTTTATTCTGCTCTCATGAGACCTCACTTGGAGTACTGTGTACAGTTCTGGTGTCCTCAACATAAAAAGGACATGGATCTGTTGGAGCAAGTCCAGAGGAGTGCCACAAGAATGATCAGGGGACTGGAGCACCTCCCGTATGAAGATCGGCTGAGAAAGTTTGGGCTGTTCGGCCTGGAGAAGAGAAGGCTGCATGGAGACCTCATAGCAGCCTTCCAGTATCTGAAGGGGGCCTATAGGGATGCTGGGGAGGGAGTCTTCATTAGGGACTGTAGTGGTAGGATAAGGGGTAATGGGTTAAAACTTAAACAGGGGAAGTTTAGATTGGATATAAGGAGGAAATTCTTTCCTGTTAGTGTGGTGAGACACTCGAATAGGTTGTCCAGGGAGGTTGTGAATGCTTCATCCCTGGCAATGTTCAAGGCTAGGGTGGACGAGGCCTTGGGTAATATGGTTTAGAGCGAAGTGTCCCTGCCCATGGCAGGGGGGTTGGAACTTGATGATCTTAAGGTCCTTTCCAACCCTAACTATTCTATGATTCTAAAATGAAAGCACTTAACAAACCAGGACAAGAAATTCATATATGATGGCCTTGTTCCTGCAAGTATTTGGAAAGGACACAGTTGTTAGTACAAGTAATGGTATTTAAGTCAACGATAGAATTAAAATGTGAAAACAACCTTCAATTTTAAAATCTCCTGATTACAGTACATGGTATTTCTGTGTTAAAACAAGAAGCTTTGTAGTCTACCTGACACAATTTTAAGAAAATTCTAATGGAGTAAAATAAGAAAATACTTCTGCTGCTAACATATTTTTCGCCCCCTCTTTTGTTTTTAATTAATGAGACACTTACCATACTTCAAGAGACAATTCCAAAGTCATTTCTGTGACCTAAACAAGAAATATTTAAATATGGTTACACCACTTACAGAAGGAATAACACCAACGCACCAGGAATAGAAACTACTAATGTTAGGATTTTTATTTAGACCATTTTTCCAAAAAGGAGGACATTTCTGAAATAGGTAAATAAATTTCTATTTATCTATTTTTTTTTACAGCACACAATGTGATTCCAAAATCCACCACTAACACTGAATACAGTCGAAAACGCTGCTAGGTCCTGACTTTCATTCATCAAATCCCATTGTTTTGGCTTTCTTCCACTGACAGTCAGTTTTTGACAGTGCTATTCATCTTTGGCCTGAAGGGATCTAATTGTCTTCACACACTTACGATCCTTTGCTTCTACCACCAGCCACAGTCTTTCTGCTACTTGCTTCCCAGTTCATTGGGTAAACTTCATATTCAACTTCTATCCGACACAAAGTCTTGTAAGGGAATGAATTCACTGTGTTCCATATGAGCCACCAAGTGTCTTTCCACAGTTTAATATAATAAATTATCAATCAGGAAGAGTGATTTCTGTCAGGTTTCTGAAAGATGCAAGTAAACTAATAAATGCCACTACAAAATGATTTCACTTGCAGACCACGCAGATCCACCTAACCCATAAGCTATGGGTTGATCTCCTCTGCCTTTCATAGAGCATTTTAAGGGGCTGCCTGCAGGCAAAGGTTAAAAAAAATATGGTTAAACCACCAAGTACATCTAGGAAAAACCCAAGAGTAGGAGGCTGCTAGACATTTTCATCTCCCAAAGCTCTCTCACATGCAATGGCCATCTACACATTGGTACAGCCTTCTGGGAGCGTAACAGACTCACACACAGTGTCTTGTTTTACTGCCTGTAGCTATAAGCAGAATATCCTCCTTGTTTGTGGTATGTGATCACTAGGAATGGAGCTAGAACACCTCAGGCTGAACGTTTGCTTGACACAAACAGAATAGTTAAGGACATAGAATTACAAAGCTGCCTCTGGCCTCCCACATCTCACAAACCTGTCAACAGGCCAGGTAAACCTGGCACTCTGCTACTGCTCTCTGGAATGGAAATGGTAAATGAGGTAGTGAATTAACAGGGTGGTGGAAAAAGGAAAAGGCAGAGAAATAACAAAAGGAAAACATGAAGAAACAGAGTGAAGAGTCATTTATGGGAATACTTCAAAGACAGGGTGGCAATTACATTATTCTAGCATCTGATATTACTAATTTAGAAAGCACTTCAGAAATCATCCAGTGATCCAATGGTTGAAAAAAAAATGTACACACAGAGTATTAAATAAGCCCTTCAAGTGAAACATTCCAATAGGGAACCAGCATGCTATTTTCTACACTTTATACAGACTGCCACAGAAATCTCAGGAATACATGTTGTGTATACAAATTGCCTACATTGGGCTCAACCTGACTTAGTGTTCCCTCACTATTTGCTTATAAATTTCAGTGTATTTGGCTTTTTTTACTGAATTTTTATCCCATTCTACATTCTCTACCAAGCTTTGCTTAGTGTTGATGCGAAGTTAAAGCATATCTGTAATGTGGCAATGCCTCATGTTATTGGCATGAGCTTTGTAAACTGAGCTCTCAAAATGTATTCCTCAGCTCTATCTCTCTACCTCACCCTGTCCCTGGCAGAACCAGGCAACTGCAGTCAGCCTATACTGTGGCAAAATTCCAACTTCCCTAATTAATTGTTATATCTTACATATCACAGAATCAAGGAATGGTTGAGGTTGGAAGGGACCACTAGGTGTCATCTAGTCAAATCTCCCTGCTCAAGCAGGGTCATTGAAAAGAGCACACTGCTCAGGATTGTGTCAGACAGCTCTTGAATATCTCCAGGGAAGGTGACCTACTCTAAGGCTCAGTCAGGAAACAATGTGATTTCCAATAAAAAGGTCTTATCCAGTTATTTGCTGTAACCACACTTTTAAAGTTATATCACACGGAAAACAGCAGAGCAGTCACAAGTCACAACTTCTGATCATATAACAAACTATATCCCATAACAGAAATGCAGACAGTATTCATACACAGTTCTGGTGTCCCCAACATAAGAAGGATATGAAGCTGTTGGAGTAAGTCCACAGGAGGGCCACGAGGATGATCAGGGGACTGGAGCACCTCCCATATGAAGACAGGCTAAGAAAATTGGGGCTGTTCAGCCTGGAGAAGAGAAGGCTGCGGGGAGACCTCATAGCAGCCTTCCAGTGTCTGAAGGGGGCCTATAGGGATGCTGGGAAGGGACTCTTCATTAGGGACTGTAGTGGTAGGAGAAGGGGTAACGGGTTAAAACTTAAACAGGGGAAGTTTAGATTGGATATAAGGAAGTTCTTTACTGTGGGGGTGGTGAGGCAGTGGAATGGGTTGCCCAGAGAAGTAGTAAATGCTCCATGCCTGGAGGTGTCCAAGGCCAGGTTGGACAGAGCCTTGGCTGACATGGTTTAGTGTGAGGTGTCCCTGCCAAGGCAAGGGGGCTGGAACTAGATGATCTTAAGATCCTTTCCAAACCAAATCGTTCCACAATTCTACATATTATGTACATACAATACATATACGTGTATCACAGAATTATAGATTGGTTTGCGTTGGAAGTGACCTTAAGATCATCTAGTCCCCAACACCCCTGCCACGGGCAGGAACACCTTCCATCAGACAAGGTGTGAGGGGTATGTTCAGAATGGCCTGTGATATGTTACTCCAATAAATGATGATATGCTAATATGAGCAGAACAAGCTCAATTACACATAGCTTTAACAACAATTTCCAGGAGTCACATGCAGGCAAACAAATACCATTAAACTGAGTCCATCTGTTTTGTATACATGTTAAAAAAGAATAATCCAATAAATGTATTATTGCATCTTAACTAGGGCTGTGTTACAACAAACCATTTATTGAAAGGGAAACGTGTAATAATAAAATAATTTCTGCTAGGTTTCCAACCAACAGACATCAGTAGTACAGGCAACATACTGACCAGCAAACCTGTGTAACTCCTCAAAGGTCAGTCAAAGACTGTTAAACTAAATTGAATCAAATAGTGCAGAAACTGGTTTAACAAGCAAAAGTCTGAAACTAGACTTTTCTAGAGGATTCTCTCAACAGGGACACTAAGGCATTCAGTGACACTTTTTTTTCTTAATTCTCCTCTCAGCAGGACCATAAGAACATAAATACAGTAAAGCTTCAGAACAGGGTGTGCAGAGAACAATCCTCACCTGAGATACTCCCTCCCGTGCCCCCAGATATTCAGCTATTTCCTGACTGAAAGGCCACCAACCTTATCCCTGCTATGATATCCTCCAATCCCTTCCTGAATTCAAAACTCAGCTCTATATTAAGAAAATAGGTAGTCTGATGGGATCAGAAATAGTCTTGGATTTCCTTTTATCTAGGAACATGTACTTCTGACAAGCATCAAGAGTAGGCCAAATGCTTTTCTTATGATTCAACAAAATGACAACAGGAATACTTGAGCAAGATCAGACAGTGAGAGTCATGAGGACGCATCACTATGACTTTATAAGCACCATCCTCTAGTGATTTGTGAACAGGCTTTACCTAACAAGAATGTGGCACAGATAAAATGCAGACACCCGATAAAAGACTAAAATGTGACACATCCTGTGGTACATCCTGGTTTACACAACAGTTTAGGTCTCTCAGTTCAGGTGTTTTTTCAAGATATGTCCATCATGTTCAAAACTGCACCAATACAGGCAAATCTATGAATGTTGCAACTTACATCATTGAAAGTTAACTGGACCTGCTTCTTCTCTCCCAGTTTCAAGGAAGATATAGGAAATGTGGATGTGCCAAGAGTCTCATCCATAACATAGTTGGCATCCATTAAAGTAACCTAGAAAAGATACATGGGTATTCAATTTTACTTTGATAAATTCCTTTTAAGTTCCATAGTCTATGTTGAAAGTAATACGAAAAAAAATATGGAAAGGAACAGGCCTAACCCAACCCAGTCAACACCCAGTGCCAATCGATGTGTTCTTTTAAAACGGGATATGCTCATGTATACTGTAGGTAGCACCTTCAAGGCATTCAATTGCATGAGTATGACAATACCATCTATGAAAGGTTTTTTATTTGAGCATCTTCCTGTCAGTAAATCTCACTATCTTTCTAAGCAGACATAATAACTTCAAAACTGACATATAAAATATACAATTACCTCAAATTTCCACTTATCAGAACTTCTCTATGGAGAAAATTACAGTTTTAACTGTGACATGCCAAAAAACATACAGCAACTTTTCTGTGGAGATGGAATCCATACATCTTAGACTTAGATCTTTTTAGCAATGATTTGGAAAAATTCACAGCATTCCAAATTACACAAAGATTTTCTCTGTATCCAGCCAGATCTTCAAGTCTCTTCTCATATTCCCCATGTCAGAGCATATACCTTTTCAAAACGCAATACTATCCAAAGATGTATGTGGATACCGCAGAACATTGTTCACTGCTTTTCTTTAAATTCATGTGGATCTACATATAGCAGGTTTTTTCTCAGTGACATCCTTCCAAGTTTTCAAGTAAAATATTCAGAAAGAATTTCAAGTTACTGTTTAGATGGTTTGTGTCAAGTAAGTTCTGCAAACTCATTTGGCTTACAATTTATATTTCACTTGGTAGAACTGTGTCTTCTAAAATACCACATTTGTGGTGTGGGCCATATCTTTTGCAGAAAACAAATAGAATAAAGATACAATCATTTGAATAACTAATTCCTACATCTGGGTTCAGCCTCTTCTCAGCTGTAAAGAATCTTCTTCATCCTGTGCCACAAGCAATCCTTTGAAACAATGAACTGTATTTTAGCACAGAACTCATTATTTTCATAGGATCATAAAATAGTTTGGGTTGGAAGGTGCCTTCCACTAGAGCAAGTTACTCAAAGCCCCATTCAACCTGGCCTCGAACACTTCCAGGGACAGGGCAGCCACAACTTTTCTGGACAATGTTAATAGCATCTTCATTCTTATTTTTCTTTGTAGAACCTTATGCCCATGCTGCAGTCTATAAGCACTGTCTTTTAAAACCAATAGCAAAAACTTCTTAATGGGATTTTGAGGAGCATCTGACAGTTCAGAGTTAAAACTGTACTTAGGATGGAGTTAAAGATTTAGATTAAAATAATCTGAGGAGTTGAGGATTGTGGACTCTGTCTGAGCTTGGGAATTCGCAAAGAGATTTTGGGTGGGGACGTGAGCCTTGCAGAACCTGGCAGCATGCTGTGGCCATACTGCACTGGAAATCAGTAGCATGCCAGCTCATAAAAGTTTCATAATGACTGCATAAAACCATGATAAAACCTGAGAAATACTTCACAAAATGTTAGCTAAATTACAAGAGATGTTTTAGTAGCTGGGGTTTCTCATCCTGGTGGGAAATGAGCTAGTCACATTGTTACCACAGAAGGAACCAAATGAGTCAGGTCTCCACGTGGTCAAAAATATCTGAGATCACGTAGCAGTAAGAAATTGATGGCTTGCCAGCACCTTGGCTTCTTCACATCAGAATACATAGAGATAAGAGTATAAGAGGTAGTAGTGTTCCCAAGAAGGCACCAGATAAGCCAGTGGCCACTGCTGTTTGTGATTTTAATAATTTATCCTTTAAAAATCCTTGAACCAAAATTTGTTGAGTACAAATTCATCCATTACTAGTGAAGCTGCTAAATTGTAACTGCAAGCAGACTCAGACCCAGTATATATAGTGCCAGGAAACCCAAGGGACTGTATTTTAAGTATTATTTGCTATTCCTCAGTTCACCATTCTGCTCATCTTTTGAGGTTCATGAGAGCTACCATAGATCACATCAACTGTTTAGCCAGCTGCTCCTGCAGATCTTCCAAAGAAGCACAAGATCTGCAAATAGGTAAAACAGTCTTCCCCAGGACTTCTGTTAGAATTCACAAAGGTTTTGATCAGACAAAGTTGAAACAATTTAAGTAAGAGTACATAAAACATCACTGGGTAAGCTACTCAGCCCTTGGCTCCAGGCATAGAGGAGGCAGCAGAACCATCCTTCTGCTTTCTGTCTCCTTAGGGAGAAGCAGGGAATGAGCAGAGACTTGACTTTACCCCCACCTATTTGCTGTCCTTAATAGTTGAATCAGTGTAGGAAGCAGGGAGAAAATAATTTATGGCTGATGTAAAGAATACTAAACCACTAGCCCTCAGGAGCTGTCCAAGAGATGACTCAGAGGCACATCTTATAAGGACTCTCAAGGCTACTCCTTGAATAATGTATACAACACCTCTTTCTTACACCATGCCTAAAGGCAAAAATCAGCCTTTAATGTTTTAAAAAGGTTGTAATCTTGAGACAACAAATGCCATGCACTACAAGCTACCGTTATGTTGATCTTCCAGACTTTGTTCAATTTCCATTTTCAAACATGCAGCTCAGCCATGTCATTTACCTCAAGAACATTCTCTTGGTTAGGATCCAAAATGAACTCAAAGGTCTCATTCCACATGGGATTCACATCATTATTGAAATGTTTTGTTCTCTTCCTGCAATCAGGGGCGGATGGGATGAACAGTTCCACATAAGGATCTGGAGTGTCAACTACAGAGCAAACACATGTTCAAGTTAGGTATAACTCAAGTTTGGGTTGCAACAATGAATGCAACCATGCAAAACTATAGATCACCTCATGGTCTATGACATAAAATATTCAACTATAAATATAACAAATACAATGACATGAATGATAAAATTACATTAACAATCTCCCCAAAAGAAAGAGACATCATGGCTCTAAAGGGCAGGAAAAAAGCCCTTAACAAACAGAATGGCACTGGACCAATTCAAGTTTATTGAAATATATATGCTTCTACCCATTAGTGGATATTATTTTTAATAACTCGTTTCAGCTGGGAGAAAGAGCAAAAGAGCAAACCAAAAAAGTCTGACCTTTCAAATAGGAATCAACTGTATTTTGGAAAAGAAACAACAAAAATGGAGGTTTGAAACCACTCAGGAGGTTCTGCATGTGTATCAGGGCAGAATGGAAGCAAAATTTGGCCTCCCAGAAATTCTAGTGGGGAACATCAGACAGACCTAATGTGCCTTCTGATGCCATCACCAAGCATAAAAGATACTGAACTTGCTCACAAGGTACTTCAAATATCTCTGGAGATGCAGAATAACAAGCAAGGGCTTTGAATTAAGTATTCTTTTAGCTAGGGAAGCTTTAGGGACATTAAACAAGTCTCCTAGACTTGGGCTCCCTCAATTAAAATTTTGTATTTATGACTTTATGATTCAAAGATTTCAGTGTGTGAGAATTTCCTTGCACTGCTATAACACTCCACAGAATTTCTTAGGGAGTTCTAGACTTTGCTCCATTATCTGTGGGGCTTAGGTAACTGCTACAATTTGGCAGGTCACACTGTTACCTGCATAATTAACAAGTAGGTATTTGAAGTTGGGAATCAGTGTGGAAAGCCTTTAAAAAGCAATCTTTATTAGCTACTAAGAATTTATGTCTGATCTTGTCTCTTATTTAAAGCCAGTGGAATAGGGAGATCAACCCCCAAGTGCTGTTTAAATCTGTTTCCCACTTGCAGATATAACTAATTGCCAATTTTTTACCGAATACATTAACTCCCTTGAATTACTACACAAAATTGTGCCAGAATGAAGGGAATCAAGCCCCTTGAAACTAAACAGAATATCTTCTGAAATCAGAATTGACAAGATCTCATCTGTTAAGTCTGGATATTGAGCGCTACTTTGGCAAACAGCACTACAGACTTGCTCCACCAACAGACTGAACATGCCTACAAAAGCTTGGGTTTTACCCAAAATACTGGTGCTGAACAGTGCTCTGGTCAAAACGTCACGACTTCCCTTTCCATTCAATTGTTTATGTGATTATGTGATCAACCCTAAATATAAGTTACAAAACTCTTTTTTTTTTTTCCCTTTTAAACACAAAAAGCAAATGGTTTCCTATCTGTACTCAAAATCCTGAAGCACATGGAAACCCCGTACCACTGCACAGCTGGCATACAGATGCCATTACTAACTTCCTATCTGACAGACTCCAAGTAAGTGTTCAAACAGAAATTAAACCCAAGGCATGGAATAACTAAACTTAGAAAAATCACTCTTCGTAACTTCCTATTGCCAAGCTGCCCACTCCCTTTCTGCATTCATTATGTTTTTAACCTGAGGCAAAGAATTAATCTGTCTTTTCACGTTTGAAAGTTTATTTTGTGCCATTTTCAATTATGAAAGTGAAAAATCTATTCGTTTAAAACTTCCTTCTTCAGCTGAAGAGGAAAAATACTGGAAGACTGTGCTTTGATTAAGATATTGCTATAAGCTATATTAATCAAAATTTTTTTCATTATTATTGGTTAGGGACCAAAAGCTGGCTACCAGCAATCTGACAAGTGATACAAAAGTGTTCACTTAACGTACTTGAAAATATTAAAGTTCTCAAAGGCAGATAAAACAGGCAGAGTATGTATCCTTTTGCATGAATGCATTTATTCCTGTTTGGACTTTTGCTAGTTGATTTGCCAGGTACGTTTTTCAAAAGAATTTATCTGAAAATGTAAGAGAAAAGCAGCTTAATCACTGCTGTTATCTGTATTTTGATTTTAAAAGGAAGCATCTTTATGAAATGTTTTTGTGGTTGTGGAACTGCTCTTTTATTTTAGCAGCCTACTTGAAATACCAACCACAGACTCAAAAAGAAGCAGCTTATAAGATTTGGTACTTCTTCCTCAGGACACTTCTGAAGTAAATGGAGTTTTGATACAGCTCAGCTAGGCTCTGGATTATTCTTTGCACAAGCATTCTTGCATTACTCCTCCATAATTTGTGGGCTAGCTATCTGCAGGGCATCTCAACTTTATAACATAGGTAAAATCTGGAAGGTTTGCAAGCGGAAAACTTGGAAGATTTAAAAATGAACACATGCACTACCATAAGACAATGACTGTATGATATGATTCCATATTCCTGTCTTCAGAGCATTCTTTGACTGTTTAAAGTGCCTCAATATGTGCATGCAACTGAAATGTTACACTTCTACTATCAAAGAGCTTCCTACATAAGGTCATAGATAATGTGGAATAGAGGGGTCAGACTCCATAAGTGTTTCTCAAGAAAAAAATTAATATGAACAAGTGCATCTGAAACCTCACCATTACAGTAAAAAATAAAATTAAGAATTTTGACATTGATGCCAATGGAAGTAAGAGTCCTGTAATTAGCACTATATACCTCAATGAATTATAAAGGTCATTAACAAGATGTTCATAATAACCCTTTTATAAGATTTATAGCATCCACAAGATCTCCAGGGGTTGAACACAGGTATCCAATAACAAAAGCAGAGTCAGCTTCGAAACTGTTATTTTTAAACACACTGGATTAAGAAATGGCTGAGAGGTAGGAAGTAAGTATTCAGTGACTTTTCCTTAACGTATCTCCTGGTTAAGTAATTATTACAGAAATATATCTCTAAATTACATTATGAATCATTAAGTGAAACAAAGAGTGGACAATAATAAGAATAAATAATTTTCACATTAAAAATAATGCTTTAAGCAATCTCTATATTAAAGAAACATGTAAAATTTTCTGTAATGGAAACCATTTGATCTTATGTTACTAATTTGTTGAGATGAATGTCGTTAGGCCCCCATAGTAATGTAATTAATATTTCAGACACATAATTTATATTTCCGTCATTTCAATTTCAAGTACTTCAATAGCATAAAAGACATAAAGAAACAACAGAAAGCATATTCAAATATAAAATACCAAGGATGAAGCTGCTATCATCATACATTAAAATTTACCTCATTTGTCCATCAAGATTTGAAAGAAATACAAAGTTCTTGAAGTATTCGAAAATCTGGTTTGCTGCAAAAAAAAATCTGTACCATAAGACTTTTTCTTCCTTTTTTTTTTTATGAGCACGCCATAAACACTTGAGATCATAATAGATATTAAAGAAAACTTTATTTACTTTAAATTCAGTTAATATACACATCACCATTATAGAAAGTAAATCTGGATCCAGATTTTCTGGATTTATGATCTCCAGGTACCATGCTTATACAATTAAATCTATATTCCAGCAAATACATGGCAGAACTTCCTTAAAGAGCTATGTTACTTTTATTCATTGGAGTTTTTTGCTTTCTGGTTAACCAACATCCTCCACCATGAAGTACAACCCCATTCATAAAAGCTTCCTAGATCCCAAACAACCACCTTTACCTACTTTCCACCATTTTTCTTTAGCTTACTGTCCTGGGTTCAGCAGTGCCAATCATTTTTCTCCTCCTTAGTAGCTGGTGCAGTGCTGTGGTTTTGACTTTCGGCCTGGGAACAGAGCTGATAGCACTGATGTTTTTAGTTACTGCTCAAATATTTGGTCTGACCAAGGACTTTCTGAGCCTCATGCTCTGCCAGGGAGGAGGGGAAGCTGGGAGGAAGCAGAGACAGGACATCTGACCCGAACTGACCAAAGAGGTATTCCATACCATGGCACATCATGCCCAGGATGTAAACTGGGAGTTACCCAGAAGGACTAGTTCTCTGCAGGGCTGCATGAGGTATCGGTCAGTGCTCCGTCGGGGTGGGGGCGAGTTATCAGTCAGCGGGTGGTGTTGTGTTGTATTCTCTTCCCTTTTTATTTATCTTATTATTATTATTGGTGGTAGCAGTAGTGATTTGTGTTATACCTTAGTTACTAAACTGTTCTTATTTCAACCCATGGGAGTTGCATTCTTTTTGATTCTCCTCTCCATCCCTCTGGGAGTGGGGGGGAAAAAAGAGCGGGGAGAGAGTGAGAGAGAGACTGCATGGTTCTGTTTTACAGCCTGGGCTTAAACCATGACACTTACTGCACTACACACTTACTACACAGTTACACTACTTACTGTATAACTGGTTTAGCACAAGGTTACATGCAGCTGAGAGGCTTGACTGAGGCTAAGCTAATAACGGGAACTGCTGAACTACCACACTCTCCTCTGAGGGGAAGGAAGCTAAAGAATGCCAGCTATGCTTTACTCAGAAGCAGTTCTGGCTGGGGAAGGGGACTCAAGCTGGCTGTGCAGCACAGGGCTCCTCTGTATTTTAAAGAGGTTATCAAACCTACTGTTTCTCTACAGAAACCCAAAGCAGGGAACACAAAGGCGTTTCCAGTGGGTTGAACATTAACCAGTATCAATCCCAGGAAACCAGTATAGCACAAGCCATGTGAATCTCTTCCTAGGCAAGAAATGTAGTTCTGATGTGTTTTTAAAAATAATAAATAATTCTTGTTAGTTAAATAATAAATTTTATTCAAATAGTGAATTTTATAGGACTCACTGGACAATATGCTTCACAGCATGGCATGGAAATATAGTCTCTCTGCCATAGCTAGGTGAAAAAGTAATAGATTTTAAAATCATGGGTTTTCCCAGATCAATGTAATTTTCAATTTTTTAAAAAAGGAATTATTATAAACAGTACTTACAGATAATTTTATTTCAATTATTAAACTGTTCTTATCTCAAGCCACTGGATTTTACTTTTTTTTCGATTCTCCT